CACTCTAATAATAATAGAGTTGGAAGAGACTTTAGTCCAACCCCCTGCTCAGGCAGAAAACCCTATACCAGGGGTCTTTAAACTTGACCCTTTTATGACTTGTGGACTTCAACTCCCAGAATTCCTCAGCCTGGCATGCTGGCTGAGGAATCCTGGGAATTGAAGTCCACAAGTCATAAAAGGGCCAGGTTTGAAGACCCCTGCCCCATATCATTTCAGATAAATGGTTGTCCGGTCTCTTCTTAAAAACTTCCAGTGTTGGAGCATTCACAATTTCTGGAGGTGGGTGGTTCCACTGGTTAATTGTCCTCACTGTTAGGAAGTTTCTCCTTAATTCCAGGTTGCTTCTCTCTTTGGACAGTTTCCAACCATTGTTTCTTGTCCTACCTTCTGGTGCTTTGGTGAATAACGTGACCCCCTTTTCTTGGTGGCAGCTCCTTAAATACTGGACACTGCTATCATGTCTCCCCTATTTCTTCTTTTCTTTAGAATAGACCAGGGGTAGGCAACCTTGGCTCTTTTATGACTTTTGAACTTCAACTCCCAGAATTCCTGAGCCAGCCACATTGAGGGGAAAGGGAGAGGTTTCCAAGCTGGGCCGTGCTGGCTCAGGAATTCTGGGAGTTGAAGTCCACGAGTCATAAAAGAGCCAAGGTTGCCTACCCCTGGACTAGACAAACCCAAGTCCCATAGCCGTTCTTTTGTGTGTTTTAGTCTCCAGGCCTTCGATCATCTTAGTTGCTCTTCTCTGAACTTTTTCCAAGGTCTCAACATCTTTTTTTTTTTTTGTAGCATGGTGGCCAAAATTATTTGCAGTATTCCAGGTGTGGAAATTTGTTTGCATTATAAAAGTTTGTTTGGATTATAAAAGTTTATTTGCATTATAAATGGCTACTCGTAGCCAAAATCAAATGGACAATACGGTAAACACAATCTGGTAGATTATTTGGCCAATGTACAAAACGCAATATTACTTGGCCAGGCTCCTTTTAGACTTCCTCTCCTAATGTGCAAATCTTCGGTGTCCAATTTAACAGAATAAACGGAGTTGGAAGGGACCTTAGAGGTCTACTAGTCCAACCCCCTACTCAAGCAGGAGACCTTGAGATAAGCCCCAATTTCCTGCTGAACATAGGATTTCGTAGCATGTCTGAATGATTAAGTATGAATGAAAATGATAAGTGTGGGTAAGTAAAATCTCAGACCAGGGAAAGAAGGAAGAATAACGCTACCTTGATTCTCCAGGGTGTAGAAGATTCTGTTGTTATACAGGTAGTCCTCAACTTATCACAGGTCGTTTAGTGACCGTCTAAAGCAACAATGACACTGAAAAAAGTGACATTCACACTTCCGACTGTTGCAGCCTCCTCACGGTCACGTGATCAAAATTCAGACACTTGGCAACCGACTCATATTTATGATGGTTGCAGTGTCCCGGGAAGCCAGTTTCACTTAACAACCCCTGTTACTCACTTAACAACCGTGTCAAGAAAGGTTGTAAAATGGGGCAAAACTCAATGCACAACAGTCTCGCTTAGCAATTAACGATTTCGTAAAGCGAGGACTCCCTATACAGACGGGCTCCCTTAGATCCTAGTAATGGGGTAAAAGCTGTGCTCAGTTGCTTAGCAATTGGTTCAGAAGTTACCACGGACTTCCCCAGAGTTATTTGTGGCTGTTTTCAAAGTTACGACGCCGCACTAGCGGTCTCCCTTGCCAGTCGTAAGTTGAGGACTGCCTTTCTCTGCATGTTGCAAAGGTGATACATCTTAACGAACTCGAAGTTTGTCTGTGTGGAATAGATTATGTTTCAACGATGCAAATAATTGCCTTTTTCACATCTGGATTTCATTTTTTCTGCTTTTCAGCGGGACCTACAATATCGTCGTAAAATGCGACGGCAACGGAAGATGCGTTGGCAACTATGACAACCGCGGGAGTTTTGGAGAATTGGCTTTAATGTACAACACACCCAGAGCGGCTACTATCATTGCTACCTCTCCTGGCGCCGTTTGGGGTTTGGTGAGATGATTATTTTTTTGTGGGGACCCCGGGTGCTCTCCGAGCTTGCTGGGGGTTTTTTTTTGCAGATGTTTCATTACCAAACTAGGTAACATCATCAGGGCTTAAAAGAAATAAAAGATTTCTGAATCCATTAGGAGGGCCTGTAATGAAAGATTGCTCCAAAAGTATCAGAGAGTTTTGCCCTCTTCACCAGTCTGAAAAATGATAGAAGAATTCGAATCCAGAGGAGCCCAAATGTGTGTGTGTGTGTCACAGAATCAAGATGACAGCCACTCTAGTGCAATCGACAGAATAACAGCTGGAAGGGACCATGGAGGTCATCTTGCCCAACCCTCTGCTCAGGCAGGAAACCCTATACTATTTCAGACAAATGGCTGTCCAGTCTCTTCTTAAAAACCTCCATTGTTGGAGCATTCACCACTTCTGGAGGCAGGTTGTTCCACTGGCTAATTGTTCTCATTGTCAGGAAATGTCTCCTTACTTCTAGGTTAGTTTCTTGATTAGTTTCCATCCGTTGCTTCTTGTCCTGCCTTCAGGTGCTTTGGAGAATAGCTTGACTCCCTCTTCTTTGGGGCAACCCCTGAGATATTGGAAGACTGCTATCATGTCACCCCTGGTCCTTCTCTTCATTAAACTAGACAGACCCAATTCCAGCAATCTTTCTTCATATGTTTTATCCTCCAGGCCCCTAATCATCTTTGTTGCTCTTCTCTGCACTCTTTCTAGAGTCTCAACATCTTCTTTTTATATGGTGACGACCAAAACTGGATGCAGTATTCGAAGTGTGATCTTACCAAGGAATTATAAAGTGGTACTAACATTCTACATCAAAACCCCGCCCCATTAGCGCACTAAAAAAGGATGAAGTTTAAGTTTCAACCCCAAGTTGCGCTCGCCATTTTGGGGTGTTTTTTTTTTTTACTCCCTCGCAGATGTTCCCGTTTGAATATATTAATACCTAGAGTTGATTGCACAGAATGTGCAAGGTAGCCTGTGTTAGAAATTCTGTTTCTGTATAACACCACAGCTCAAACAAAGAGTACAATCTCCATGTGCTTTACTGCTAACCTGCTTCCTGTTACAGTGAAACAGTTTAGCGGTAAAGCGTGGTGCTATATATAAAGAGAATTTCTAACCACTTGTGTGTGAGAAAGGGGGTGAAGAGGACTCCTCCCTAATAGTTCCCGGAGCACATGTTTTATAGCGCAAGCAGTCTGCTTTTGTTTGGCAAGATTTCTGTCTATAGATGAAGAACAATAAAGGAACTTACTTAGAGGATCTCTACAATGGTACCTTGGTACTCAATTGTTTTGAAACTCATCCGATTTGGTACTTGATACATTTTGACATGAAAAATTTGTCCCAGTACTCATCATTTGTTCAGTACTGAATGCACAAGTTAGAACGCATCCATGTCGGCTGCCTTGTGACACATTATTCCTTATAGGAAAAAAATTGTTTGATACTCATTGTTTTTGATATTCATCGCACCTCCCGGGACCAATTAACTATGAGTATGGAGATGCCCCTGTATTTACATTAAAGCCTGTTTAGTATCATCCTTCTGTCACTCTTTTTACATCTTAGAAGTTTTTGGAGTCTGAGACTTAACTGAAAATCAAAACAATGCGCTAAACATGGTTAAGCTTAACACTTGTGCAAACACACATCAGATTCCTGTCCCATTCTCTGCCAATGAAAAGACTGCAGGCATTGTCATGAACATCACACTCTTTTAACCATGATTTGTTGTCCTTTTTCATTTTTTAGGACAGAGTAACATTTCGAAGGATCATTGTGAAAAACAACGCGAAAAAGAGAAGAATGTATGAAAATTTCATTGAGTCATTGCCCTTCCTTAAATCTTTAGAAGTAAGTGCGCCTTGCTGGGGTTATTTCAGTCACTTTGTGCAGACTGATATCAAACAATAATGTCATATGTGCATTTGCAGATTTTCTAAGATAACTGACCTTCATTTAGTTCAGTTACGTTGTTTGTGAAGGAAAACGAACATGCCTTTGCAAAGCACACCTGTTTTGATCATCGAGGGCTAACTGAGCCGGAGTAGTTACTCCTGGTTTTATCCCTTGAAACTCTGGAGGTTGTAACTACGGATAGTCCTCGACATAATGACCATAATTCAGCCCGACATTTATGTTGCTAAGAAAGACATTTGTTAAGTGAATTTTACGCCAGTTTATGACTTACCTTGCCACAGTTGTTAACTGAATCACTGCAGTTATTAAATTAGTAACACGGTTGTTAAGTGAATCCGGCTTCCCCCATTGACTTTGCTTGTCAGAAGGTCGCCAGAGGGGATCACATGACCCGGGGACACGGCGACCGTCGTAAATGAGTCAGTTGCCAAGCATCTGAATTTTGATCCCATGACCCTGGGGAGGCTGCAACGGTCATATGTGTGAAAAATGGTCATCAGTCACTTTTTTCACTGCTGTTGTAACTTTGAACAGTCACTACATGAACTGTTGTAAGTTGAGGATTACCTGTATAGATAGGTCTTGATTCTTGTGCATAAATATTTCTAAGCATGTATCTCTAAATATATGCTAAACTACCCTAGAGCAGGGGTAGGCAATCTTGGCTCTTTTATGACTCGTGGACTTCAACTCCCAGAATTCCTCAGCCAGCATGGGGGAACTATGGCCCCCTCATGACTTGTGGACTTCAACTCCCAGAATTCCTGAGCCAGCATGGGGGAACTATGGCCCCCTCATGACTTGTGGACTTCAACTCCCAGAATTCCTGAGCCAGCATGGGGGAACTATGGCCCCCTCATGACTTGTGGACTTCAACTCCCAGAATTCCTGAGCCAGCATGGCTCAGCTTGGAAACCTCTCCCTTTTCCCTCAGCGTGGCTGGCTGAGGAATTCTGGGAGTTGAAGTCCACGAGTCATAAAAGAGCCAAGGTTGCCTACCCCTGATCTAGGGAACGTTGTACAGCCTGCCCTTTCTCTTAGGAACTTGTACAGTTGCTAAATTCCAATAATAATTGCAAAAACATGCACGTATTTCTTTTAGAGTAATTTCGACCAAAAAGAATAAATGGTACCTTTTTTTCTTTTCAGCTAAATTGCTGTGACTTTGCTCATCACAAATTGTGTCTTAACCGCATTTCTCCTTCATTTTCTAAATAGAAAATATCAGTGCACTAGTCCAATTTTGCCATCTCATGTCTTAAATATTTTTCTAAATAGTCTCTTAAATATATTACTGCGACTAGATCTGTTGCGACATGAGTTCCAAAGTTGGATTTAGGATGAAATTCGAAACTAATGTAAAAAGACCCCCCCCCCAAAAAAATCCTTTGAAATCTATTTCACACCTCCAACAAATTAAGATTACCACAATATATAAGAGCAAAAATGACACTTTCCATTACAGTTTTGAGATGGTATCAAATATCAAACAATATATGTGTCTATATATTTACATAATATGTTTTATTTTCTGTTTAAGCTTTCTGAGCGTTTGAAAGTGGTGGACGTGATAGGCACCAAAATATATAAAGATGGGGAACAAATAATTGCTCAGGTAATTACTTAATTGCTCTATATATGTAGAATAATATTCTGTTAACTGTATAGGTATTTAAAAGCACAACAGCTTGTTATTACAAAAGATTTTCTGAAGCAGAACAAATGGGATTGGAAAAAAAAAACACGTAGCTGAAAAAAAGTGGCATTCAGAATTGAAATTTGGGGTGATTACAGTTAATCCTTGGATCACGACCAGCATCTGTTCAAATTTACAACCGGATTGAATGAAGGGGATATAGGGCCAGCCCTTGAAATAGCAGCTGTCGCAGCATCCCTATGGGTCATGTGATTGTGATCGGAGAGCTTGGCAACCAGCTCACAATGACAGTGGTTAGTGTGGGAGAAGGAGTGGCAGAACCTGGGAACGGAGTCAAAAGAGAGATCAGCCCAGAATCCCTACATAGCCACAACTTGAGCCGAGGTGGCGCAGCAGTTAGAGTGTAGTACTGCAGGCCACTTTAGCTGACTGTGTTCAGCAGGTCAGCGGTTCAAATCTCACCGGCTCAAGGTTGGCTCAGCCTTCCATCCTTCCAAGGTAGGTAAAATGAGGACCCAGATTGTTGGGGGCAATGTAAATATATATATATATATATATATATATATATACATTGCTTACTGGTATACACCGCTTAGAGAGTGCTTGCACTTAAAGCGGTATATAAGTCTCATAAATAAAATAAATAAATAAACTGAACTAAGTCCAGGCTCCTTTGAATTCCATGGACCCTTACCTAACACCAAACAGATGCTGTTAGTTGAGAAGATTCCTGTGTGTAGGCTGTTTAACAATAAATCAGTTTAATTCAGAGGTCCCCAACCTTTTAGGCACCAGGAACCGGTTCCGTAGAGAGAAGATTTTCCGCGGACCGGAGGGGGCGTGGTTTTGTGTGCTGCCTGCATCCCGTGGATGGGGCTTTGCTTGTTTCTGCGGACCGGTTGCTGGCATGCCACGGACCAGTACTGGTCCACGGACCAGGGGTTGGGGACCCCCCGGGTTTAATTGAACCTTTATGTGTGGACCTGGTCTTTCATGCCTTGACAGTCCCATAGTCACCTCATTGCCATGTGCAATTTTCTCTGCTGGCTTCCCACAAGGACGAGATGGTTAGATATGGTCACGGATGCCACGAACATGAATTTGGGCAAACTCCAGGAGATAAAGGAGGACACGGTGACCTGGCGTGCTGTGGCCGATGGGGGTCACAAAGACTTAGCGACTGAACGACGACAAGAATGTTTCTATTTTCATAAGCTGTAGCTCACACGGTATACCATTTTTTTTCCACCTGGGAAAGAGCGATCAAAAGCTTTTCTGTTCTTTCCTTTTTCTTATTCCCCCCTCCCTCCCTTTTCAAAAAGAGATAACGATGATAGCATTTCCTAACACCTGGATTTTCGGAAGATAGCTTATTCTATCTCTCTTGAGTTAAGAGATATTAAAGCAGGTTTTTTTTAAACTTGGCCCTTTTATGACTCGTGGACTTCAACTCCCAGAATTCCTGAGCCAGCCGTGCTGAGGGGAAAGGGAGAGGTTTCCATGCTGAGCCATGCTGGCTGAGGAATTCTGGGAGTTGAAGTCCACGAGTCATAAAACGGCCTAGGCCTAGGCCAGAGGTAGGCAACCTTGGCTCTTTTATGACTTGTGGACTTCAACTCCCAGAATTCCTGAGCCAGCATGGCTCAGCTTGGAAACCTCTCCCTTTCCCCTCAGCGTGGCTGGCTCAGGAATTCTGGGAGTTGAAGTCCACGAGTCATAAGAGAGCCAAGGTTGCCTACCCCTGCTCTAAACTAATAAAGTCTACATTAATTAACATTAATTATGCTTTCATATGTTCCTCTAGGTCAGGGGAGGCAACCTTGGCTCTTTTATGACTCGTGGACTTCAACTCCCACAATTCCTGAGCCAGCATGGCTCAGCATGGAAACCTCTCCCTTTCCCCTCAGCGTGGCTGGCTGAGGAATTCTGGGAGTTGAAGTCCACGAGTCATAAAAGAGCCAAGGTTGCCTACCCCTGGGCTAGACATAGCAAAATGTATTTCTCTTTGCACAAATCTTAAAAATAATCAGCAAATGACTGTGTAAAGAAGGCACAGCTACTTTTTATTCAATGCCCGCTAAATTTCTTCAAGCGCCTAGAATAACATTACTATGATTTTATTTCTACCATTTCTGAGATTGACTGATTGATTGATTGATTTGGGGGATTTTTTAAAAAAACTTTCTATTTAAAAGAACGACAACTCTAGAACCGCTAAACCACCGTCTTTATGTTTTTTTGTTACTCTTAATTGTAGGGAGACACGGCCGACTGTTTCTTTATTGTGGAAAGTGGAGAAGTGAAAATTACAATGAAAAGAAAGGTACCCTCTCTTAAAGTTACCAAAAGCTTTTTCGGTTGACTGAAGTTAGACTGAATAAAATCACGCATGAATAAACACTGGATTTTGTTAAAATGAATTTCAGCTTGGCTTTTTTGGAAGAAATGTTGTTGGAATCCTTTTTTTTTTTTTTTTCTTCCCAGGGCAAACAAGACATAGATGGAAATGAAGCGGTGGAAATCGCCCGCTATACCAGAGGACAGTATTTTGGCGAATTGGCGCTTGTGACAAACAAACCCCGAGCGGCCTCAGCCTTCGCGCTTGGGACAGTCAAATGCTTAAGTAATGCACAATGCTTATATTTTGGAACTTAAGTTTCTTTCTTTCTTTTTTTCTCTTCAGCTTTTTTTTTAAATTAAAAAAACCCTCCGTACAAAACTCCAAAAAAAGACAAGTTTTTACAGAAACAAACAAAATAAACAAAACATTGAAAAAACATTAAAAAAAAACACAAACATATAATATACACATCTTATCCTCCCCTAGTTGAATATTGACAAATATATCACAACAATATTAGTTCCCCACTCCGTACAAAACAGGCCCAGCATTTTTGAAATTCTATTTGCAAATTATTAAACTATCTTCTATCTACTATATAAAGAGTCCCCAATTTATGGGCTGCGGTCCACCACCGGGCCACGGCCTCTTGGCCAGCAATTTGCAGAAATGGCTGGCTGATGTTCATTAGCGCCCACAGCCCCATTTGTGCATGCACACGGGCGCGAACGGGGTTCCTAGCGCCGGGTGGGTGCACGCAGCCCATTTGCTCATGCACGAACGAGGCCGCTAGTGCCGTGCCAGCATAAGTACTGTTTGTGTGCGCGCGTATCAATTTGAAACCCGCTCTCCTTCCCTTCAGGGGCGGAGCCCAGAAAGATTGGAGGCCTCTGTACTATATTATATGAATGACAAAATACAGGTAGAACAAAAAGATTAAAATTTCAAAACTCTCTGTTGACAAACTATTTATTGTGCTCAACTCGTAGAAAGTTTACCACGACTTCTTACCTATCCCAAATCCCAAATGTGAAACTTAGTTTGTTTCATAGCAAACAGAATAAGGCGTTTTCATTTAGCAGCGTTGCGGCGTCCCCAGGGTCACGTGTTCAAAATTTCAGATGCTTGGGGCAAAGCTCATTTCATTGTCTCACTTAACAACATAAATTTTGGGCTCAGTTGTGGTCATAAATCAAGGACTACCTGTCATATAATCCCTTCCCATTATAGATCCAAATGTCATAACTTTTCTGGAGTTCACTGTTGTACAGGAAGTCCTCAGCTCCTGACTTTTAACTTCTTTACTCTAAAAGGAAGACAACATTTTCCTTTAAAGAAATAGATTTAAGTTAGGAGGTGCAGATCCTGCTCATACCCAGCATGGTTTATCTCCATTCAGTTTTGGGACATTGGAGAAAGGAGCCTATAACTGATAAACACCTTAATTTTGATCATCATCTTTGATAACTGCTGCTCTCGAAAACTTTGAAAAACATGACTGGACCTAATTGGCTCGTATTTTTTTTGATATGTGGAAGATATTGTCAGACGTGAAGAATCAGGACCATAAGTTAAATTCCAGTTAAGATGATTTATTGCTCATGCCTGTACACGAGAATCTAGTCAACTAGTGATCAACAGTGAATTGATGCTAGTTAAAAGTCAGAGGAATTCAAGGTGGCCTGGACTAGGACCATTTGTGGCGACGTAATGATTCTAGGCTTATTCCTCTCTTGACCCCACCCCCAGGCTCTGCTCTTCTCCCACAGATATCAGAAGTTTTTTTTTCTTCTGATCCAGAGCTTGCTCTTGGCTCGTGGGTGAGATTTCATTGGAAAGAGGGAACAGATTCAACTGGGTGCACAGGAAAGCCAGGCATAGCTGTTTCTCTACTTTGCTTCTCTCGTTAATTTTTCAGCTGATGTGGTCAAAGCGGGCCTTCCTTAAAACCATTTCACAGCAGAAAATTTGTCCCTAGAAATAATTTACCGTCCCCGTGTAACCTGCGTGTAATTTCTCTCTCTTTTAATATTTTAGTTATGGATGTACAAGCTTTTGAAAGGCTTCTGGGACCTTGTATGGAAATTATGAAAAGGAACATTGCAAACTATGAAGAACAGCTGGTCGCTCTCTTTGGGACAAACATGGATATCTCTGAGCCCACTGCATGAAGTACGGAGGCGCGCAACCTGTGTCCGACAAACAGCACAGTAGTGGTTAGTCCACTGAACTGACACCTTATCTTCCTATAGATGCTAAGCATTGTTCTTGATTTTACAGGGGCTCGGATTTCTTTCCTCTCCTGTCCCAAATTTGTTTGCCTTTTCTTTTTTGCACAAAGTCATTCACCTTTCCAATAACATCGGTTTCATAAGCCTTCAGCGGCAATGTACAACTTCCTACAGGTAGTCCTCAGCTTACCACCGTCCATTTAGCAAACGTTCAAAGTTACAAAGGCAGTGAAAAAAGGGACTTGGGATCATTTTTCACACTTATGACCGTTGCAGCCTCCCCGTGGTTTATGTTCGGATGTTTGTCAACCGACTCACATTTATGACGGTTGCAGTTGTCCCAGGGGGGGTCACGTGATCGTCTTGTGCAACTTTCTGACAAGCTAAGTCATGGGGATTCCAGATTAACACTTGTGCTACTAACTTAGCAACTGCAGTGATTCGCTTAATGGCTGTGGCAAGACAAGTCATAAAACGGGGCCAAACTCACTCAACAACATAAATTTGGGGCTCAGCGGTGGCTGTACGTTGAGGACCACCTGTACGATGTAGATTTAGAAGCATTTTTTGCTTTTAAAAAAAGGTAACGGCATTTCATTTAAGTATCTATGGAGATTCTCAACTGTTCCAGGTCCTGGTTGTTCCCAAAGTGCTTTTTCAAAAGGCAACTGGACTTTCTTGTTTTTCTTTGAAGACGTTTCACTTCTCATCCAGGAAGATCCTTCAGTTCTGACTGAACTGAAGAAGCTTCTTGGATGAGAAACGAAACTTCTTCGAAAAGAAAGTCCAGTTGCATTTGAAAAAGTACCTTTGGGACATGTCATTTAAGAAGTGCAAGACACACAGTGCTGCAATCTAAAGATATGTGCAAACTGACAGGACTTTTTATTTTATCTTGCCTCGTTGCGAGTCTCTTCTTGAAATCAACAAGTTTGGAATTAACCTCCCTTTCTTTTAGCAAATGGCAGGTGTAGTTTTTTCAGAAAGAAAGGCCCAGCTTCCTTGGGTTGCAGAAGTTTTGTTGATCAAAACTGTCCCTGTTTGTTTACCGTTTCTCTCAACTATCCCCTGGAAGATACGGCAGAAATAAATCTCGTTTTGTCCACATGTCGAATGAACGTGGTAGGTTAAGGCGGTTAGGGTGCACGGACGCAGTCTAGGAGAGATTAGGTGGTACGTAGTTTTTGATTTGCTAACTGGATGAATCGGTACTCAAAGGTGGCATTTGTAAAAAAAAAAAATAATGTATCTGAAAAAGTCCTCCAAACGATAAAAGCATGGCCTTGTGTTCTAGGTAAATTTTATGACCTACGTCTGGTCTTAGTCTGTCCGATTTTGCTTTTTTTACACCTGACTGTTTTATAAGATTTCATTTTGTCTGTGTGAAGGACGCTGTACACACCTTCCAGAACTTGGGAGGCTTTTGATGATGCCTGTATAGTTTCTTGCTGTTGTATCTTAACTGTGTATGTGCTGTTTTTCACTTCCCAAGAACAATTGTTGACCTGTGCGCTGGTTAAAAGGCAAAACTTTATCCACTAACAGGCTCACTGTCACATTTTAACAGACACAATCTCCCTTGAATTGAGCAAAACTCCTGGTGATTTCACGGATACACCCTTGATGCATTTTTTTATTTTTATTTTTTGATAGCAATATGGAAGGTTGATCTTGGTTGCCTTTTGGGACTGTTCTTCACTTTGTTATTTACCCCACAGCCCTGGTTTTTACTGGGGGGGGGGGAGGGTTCCTATCCAAATACCGTCCTCCCCATTTAGATTTTTGAGATGATCCAAAGTCAGCTAGGTGCCATGGTCCAGCTAGGTGCCTCCTTCTAGGTCAGGGGTAGGCAACCCTGGCTCTTTTATGACTCATGGACTACAACTCCCAGAATTCCTGAGGCAGCCACGCTGAGGGAAAAGGAAGAGGTTTCCAAGCTGAGCCATGCTGGCTGAGGAATTCTGGGAGTTGAAGTCCACGAGTCAGAAAGCGGCCTAGGCCTAGGCCAGAGGTAGTCAACCTTGGCTCTTTTATGACTCATGGACTACAACTGCCAGAATTCCTGAGCCAGCCACGCTGAGGGAAAAGGAAGAGGTTTCCAAGCTGAGCTAGGCTGGCTCAGGAATTCTGGGAGTTGAAGTCCACGAGTCAGAAAGCGGCCTAGACCTAGGCCAGAGGTAGGCAACCTTGGCTCTTTTATGACTCGTGGACTACAACTCCCAGAATTCCTGAGCCAGCCACGCTGAGGGGAAAGGGAGGGGTTTCCAAGCTGAGCCATGCTGGCTGAGGAATTCTGGGAGTTGAAGTCCACGAGTCATAAAAGAGCCAAGGTTGCCTACCCCTGTTCTAGGTGCATATATGTACAGGTGGTCCTCAACAACAGTTCCTTTAGAGACCGTTCAAAGCTACAACGGCACTGAAAAAAAAGTGACCTATGTCCATTTTTCACATTGCATCTCCATGGTCACGTGATCAAATTTTGGATGCTTGGCAACTGACATGTACTTATGACGGTTGCAGTGTCCCCGGGTCACGTGATCCCCCTTTGCGGACTTCTGACGGGCAAAGTGAATGGGGAGGGGGAAGCCAGATTCACTTAATAGCCACGTTAACTAACAGTGATTCACTTAAGAACTGTGGCAAAAAAATGTCATAAGTTGAGACAAAACTCACTTAACAACTTTTTTGCTTCGCCGTGGAAAGCTAGGCTTCATAAATCAAGGATTACCTATATAGTAATTATGGCCTTGAACGTTCGCTTCTGACTCTGGCAGTCAGACTGTCGTGCCAAAATTTAACTAGGTTGATTCGAAGTCACCATGAAGGAAAAAAGTCGCTGCTTCAGTCTTCCTTGGGGGAAAATATGTTAATGCAATTTTCTTTCAACAAAAAATAGTGTTTAAAAGCGATGGCACGGAGTTTTTTTTTTTTCCTTCCTGGCACGAGGGGAAAACAGTATTGGCTATCCAACACGATGGATGTTAATGCGCCATTAATAATTAGCAATGGGTATGGGAAAGTTCTTACACGACAGTATTATATAGTGTTCTATAATTTATATCACATAGTATGATATAAATGTGACAACATTTTTATATAATCTTCTTGATTAAAATGGTACGATCAGAAAAAGTTATCGTGTTATGGTTTGGAGGGAAACCATTAAGTAAGATAAGCTTCATTCTCACTTTTTTTTCTTTAAATAAAGTGGCACATGTTAAAAAAAATGAAATTCTGATGCCAGAATGAGGCAGCTAAGTTGGGGGCCTCGATCCAGAGAACTATGCAATTAGTTTAAAAGGCTAAGGAAAGTTCTTAGAAGTGTGTTCATTCTAAAATAAAAAAGAAATAACTCCTTCTACGGAACAAGCTTCTTTTAAAACAGACCTTCAAATACATTCTGATGAAGCACAAAGGTGATTTTCAGAAGGGGGAAAATAAAACACTTAAAAAAAATTATCCTATTTAAAGTAGTTCCTTGGTTCCCGCTCTACTGTACATCAGTTCTTAACCGCTCACATTAAATATTTCCAATTTATTAAAATGCTATTATGATTTCTACATAACACAGCTAGTCCTCATCTTATAACAATTCATTTAGTGACCGTTCAAAGTTAACAATGGCACTGAAAAAAGTGACTTACGTCCATTTTTCACAGTTACGATCGCCCAGGGTCACGTGATCGAAATTCAGACCGTCATATTTATGACGGTCGCCGTGTCCCAAGGTCATGTGACACCCCCCCCCTTTTGCCGCATTGTGACAAGCAAAGTCAAAATGTAAGTTGTTCAAATAGGAATTGAAGTAGACATCTTCTAGTGTATTTTATTCAGATTTTGTTTTAATCCCACCTTTATCATTTTTAGAAATAACCCAAGGCAGCCAACATGCCAATATACCTCTCTCCTCCTATTTTCACCACATCAACAACCTTATGAGGGGAGTTGAGCTGAGATAGAGTGTGATTGGCCCAAAGTCACCCAGCCAGCTTTCATGGCTAAGGCAGGATTAGAACTCACCGTCTCCTGGTTTGTAGACTGGTGCCTTGATCACCAGACCAATTGTGTATGGTTTCAGCCCAGATGTGCACACAGTCCTTGGACAGGTGAACAATCCCGTTTTGGGCGCAGACAGCTTAACGTTGTTGTCGTTCTCACAGACTTGCAGGATGTGGTTCAAAGTTTTGTGAGCCTTACAAAGTTGCCTGCTATGTTTGTCCACGCTTTGGCAGGAAGTCCCCAGGCCCTCCTAGATTTTGTAGAGAGCAAGCTTCTTCTCCGTTGGATGCCCCACAAACACAGGCAGGGAAACGCCCGAGAAGCCATCCATGGTTAGCTGGGTCAATGTCACAAAATCTCAGCTCGCCGGCAATCCACTGATTGCAGGTCCTTCCGGTCAGTCCACACTTCAGCTCTGTTGGGGATGACAAAATGAGTTGAGTTCGCACGGCCTGCGAATCCGTTGCCCGAAGAAGTTGATGGTGCCAAATGGCACATTGGATTTTTGAAGCCATGTTCTCAAGCTGAAGTAGAAAACCAGGCCGCCATCTTGGATGTCGGTCTGGAAGTAGCCTGCTTGCAGCCGGCATCTCGCCACGCAACAAATCGGGCAGCCCACCTTCTTCGGGGTGTTGCAATGAGCAGGTCTGACCCTTTTTCACACTTAGACAACCGTTGCAGCATTCCCACGGTCACGTGATCAAAATTCAGATGCTGGGCAAGTGACTCACATTTATGACGGTCGCAATGTCCCGGGCGCCATGTTGATCGCCTTTTGCGATCTTCTGACAAGCAAAGTCAATGGGGGAAGCCGGATTCACTTAACAACCGTGTTACTAACTTAACGGCAGTGATTCATTTAACGACCGAGGCAAGAAATGGGGTTTGGATGATCTTGTGGAAAAGGATGATATCGGAGATCTTACCTGATTGGCAAAACCTAAAATTCAATCCTACCTCTTAGTTAAAAAGGATCTTGGAAACCAGAGGCAATGAAGATTTATCTGTAGCTTTGGGAACCCAAATGAAATTATCCTGAACTAAAGGAAAGCAAGCAGTTTCACATGTTTTAGCTCGCCCAAAGCGGATCAACTTAGATCAACTTTCCTGTTTGTGGTTTTTAAGTGAGCTTAGTTGAATAATTTGTACTACAAATTCAGTGAGGTTTAAGCATTCTTACTTTGATATATGTGTGTGTGTGTATATGTGCGCGCGCACCCTACGTTTTATTTTGAGGGTGTCGTAATCCCGTCTGCACATTCTGGTTTGGAGCAGGAGTAAAACGAAAAAAAAAAACAATCTTGAAAATATTCTCCTTTGCCGGAAAAAAAAAAAAACCTTTTGTGTGCCACTCCCGTTTCCCCAATCGTTAACGTTCTGTCTTTTTAACGAGGCCTCTTTTTTTATGGTACCTCTGAATTGTGAAATTTACAATGCACAAAATTAATAAATACTTTTGAATATAGAGTGTTTGTCGTGAGCCTGTGATTCAACTATTTTACTTACCCAATGACGAACGGCACATACTGGCTTTTGAAATGAAACAAGGACGGAATCTAAGGACAGATATTTAAACGACATTGATGCTCGAATGAATTTCATTATTATTTCATTAGCACGCCCTCTGCTGGATCTGATGAGTAAACACCATCTATTGAATAATAACATGGGCGTCAATTATCTTCGGTTGTGACATTTCTTCGGATCGAAGGGCCCTTATCCAATGATGTTACTTTGAAGGAATGCTGAGGAACACCATACCATGTGAAGTTGTATTTAGCTAATTGTCTTTTCGTTGTCTTGCAATCAGGTTACTGCAGAGAGGGAAAATTAATGTCTTTATTAGTCAACTGTTTAGCAGTGTTGCCAAATAAAATGAGCCATGTTGCTAATTCCCAGCCAGCAAAAAAGGAATGATTGTTGGATAATTCTGTGGTGGAATGTAGTAAGATGGATTTCCAGCAGGGAAGGGAGTGCATCCCAGAGAAGTAAGAGGCAAACTTAGTCCAGATTTTACGTTTGAGAGAGGGTGAAGACAGCTTCTCCCTAAGAGTTCAGAGATAGTAAGATTATGGCAAGATTATTGTTTATAAGTATGAAAGCAATAAAAAGCTCAGCTTGGAAAAAATCACATGTCATTCTCAGTTTTGGGCCTGAAAGCTAGTCAGTTCCTTTAGTGACGGTTCAGAGTTAAAACAACTCATGAATCCTGAAGGCCTGAAAAGGCCTTGATCATTTTGTTTTGACATTTTTCTAGATTTTTCCCATAGTTACATCTTTTTGAGGTGGAATCAGGGCTATGTGACGCTGCTTGTCACTGTACAGACATAAACATTACAGACATAAGCCAGATAAAGTCTTCTCGGGCCTATTTTATTTAAGCCATCCAACACAAGTTAGGAATTTTTTTTTATGGTCAAGCACAATTCATATATGAATAATGTACCACTCTCTGCCAATGAGCAATAAGTTTTGATGTGCTTTTGTTTAGATGGGTTTAAGCAACATTCAAACATCCTGGACCATTCCTTTCCAACTTCCTTCTAACGCGTAAGAATCTAGTATAGGCTCTTTAAAGTTCATTGCTCCAAAAATAAATGAAGCTGCATTGGGCACAATGTGCCCTTTCTCTTTCCATTATGTTTTGACTTTAATAGTTCAGTGACTTGGGGGAAACAGAATATTCTGCCTTTTAATATTCCCCCAAATATTTTTCTCTGACTTCCCACAAAGTAATTCAAGTACACATGTCCTAAGGCTTATTATAAAGATAATCCTTGACTTACAACCATTTGTTTAATGACCCTTTGAAGTTGCAATGGCACTGAAAAAAAGTGATTTATGACCCACTTCTCACATTTAACCAGGGCTGCAGAATCCCCAGTCATGGGATCAGGTGACTTTGGCAACCGGCATGTAGTATTTATGATGGTTGGCAGCCAACTTCTGACAAGCAAAATCAATGGGGGTGAGACTTGCTTAACGACTGCATGATTCACTTAACAGCTGTGGTAGATAGTAAATAGGGCAAAACTCAACAACTGCCTTGCTTAGCAATGGAAATGTTGGACTTCATTCTGGGTCGTAACTCGAGGACTACCTGTATAGCAGTATAGCTGTGGAATTCTGGGAGTTGAAGTCCTCATGCCTTAAAATTGTTAAGTTTGGGAAACACTGCTGTATAGGATTCTTAACATCTGGTGCCCTGAATTTTTCCAGTGCCCTACAAAGACTGCGGCTCATTCTGCAATTTTCCGTGCTTTTTTCTCCCAACTCCACGTTTTCCCAGCACTGCTGTGCAAAAATTAAAGAGCCGTTCCTCAGCTTGGGAAGAAAACGTCCATTCCCCACTTTAGGAATCCCTCCAGGGCCACAGCTAGTTGGAGACACAGATACACGTGTCCCTAAGAGTCTTGTTTACTAATGACCCAGAGCTTTCTGGGAGTTGTTGTTCCTGAACTCAGTATCGGGCGTTCCTGCGAGAAAGCAGAAAACAACAACGCCCATAACCCTCTTCGGCTGGAGGAGGCGGGGCCAGCGTCCATTTATTACGCCTCGTTCAGCATGACTGGCTTCGCCGCAGCCAATCGGCCGCGCGGAAGACATCAAAACAAGTCTGTTTTCTTCAGCTGGCCTCTTGACAGGCGACGCCCTCATCCAATGGGCGGACAGAAGCCTGTGATGGACGTCCACGCCAGCCATTCACAAGCCGAGCCCGAGGGAAAAGGGGTGGCGATTTCGAGCGAGAACGAACGGGAGGGAGGAGGGAAGGAAGGGAAGAAAGAAAGAAAAAAAAAAAAGCTGTAGGGAGTCCTGTAATGGCGACGGGGTTGGTGAGTAGCTCAGAAGTTTTGAAGTGTTTTGAGGCGGGTGGAAGTTGGGGGGTAAGTGGGAGACGGGCGACTTCCGTTCTGTGGGGCTGCCGCTCAGGGCTAGACGCTGCCGAGGGAGGAAGGAAGGGAAGTTCGGGCCGTTCTTCAGGTTGTTCAGACGGGGGAGAAAATGAAAGGGGGATGAAAAAGGCTCCGGGATTCCTGGCGCGACCGGGGCATTTTCGGAGTCGCTCTTCAAAACAGAGCACAACACGGCGCCATTTACCTCACGGACCCCCCCCCCCAGTTGTGAGGCGTACTTAACTTGGCTCTCTCCGTCTCCCCAACCTTTCCCCCCCCTCAATTTTCCGGTCCCTTTGGGCCCCTCAGGAGCCCTTTGGCCGAGGGGGGGCCACCCCCGAGGTCGGGGACGAGAGCCCCTCCCCCACCGCCTTTCTCCTGCTGCTGTTACGCACTTCTGAATGAATGGGGCCTTTCGGCGCATGCGCCTTTCCTCCCCCCGGAGGAAAAAGTTTATAAACAAGGGCCTCTGCCAGGCGTCGGGCACGTGACTGGAAAGAGCGGGCGGGGGAGGGAGAGCGGCTCTTGACAGCGTTTCCGCCCCCTCGGCTCCAAAAGCGGACCAATCAGCGCCGAGCGGCTCCTCCGCCCGCGGCGCGTGATCGCCTCTCAACGGTCCTTTTCCTTCACTCCCCCCCCTTTCTCCTCCGCGCGCGCGTGACGCCGGAGGCGGCGCGCGAGCTCGGTGCGTTTCTTGCGTGCGGGGGCGGGGTCTTTTTCTCGCCCCGCCCACCCTTTGAGCGCTGAATGCGGAAGTGCTCTGCTTCTGCTGCGGCGGGAGCCTAACCCAGGAGGGTCTTCACGCTTGGCCCTTTTATGACTTGTGGACTTCAACTCCCAGAATTCCTCGGACAGCTTGTCTGTCTGAGGAATTCTGGGAGTTGAAGTCCACAAGTCATAAAAGGGCCAAGCTTGAAGACCCTTGGCCTAACAGCTGCTTTGCAGCGGTGGGGCGACAGGATCTACCCCTCCCTCTTTTTCCTCTGGGGTGTTGCTCGCCTCCCCCACCACCACAACCTTATTTCTGAATCTGTAGCAAGTGACCAGGATGAATAACTTTTGCTTTTAAAGACATACATTATGTCACAAAGGGGCTGCCCCAAAGAAGAGGGAGTCAAGCTATTCTCCAAAGCGCCTGGAGGCAGGACGAGAAGCGACCTGGAACTAAGGAGGAATTTCCCGACAGTTAATATACTGCCTGGATGTGATTTGAGTCTTCATTGACATATTCCTGACAGAACAATCAGTCAGCGGAAAGAGTTGCCTCCAGAAGCTGTGGGTGCTCCATCACTGGAGGTTTTTTAGAAGACATTGGACAGCCGTTTGTCTGAAATGATACAGGGTTTCCCTTGAGTGAGGAATTGGATTCAAAGATCTCCAAGGAACGTTCCAACTCTGTTCTGCCATCAGAATCTTGAAGAATTGCTGGCTTAAGGTAGCAATTATTTCTTCACAGTTTTTGATTTTCATTACTTCCTCGCTAGCAATCAACAGCCCTATGAGCAGAGGGTAAAACCAAGATGAACACCAGATGAACAATCAAGAACTAAACAATACCCCAATCAAGGAACTACCAACACAAACAAGCTAACAGTAAACAACAGCCTAAACAAGGAACTACCAAGTAGGCTCCCACCAACGCTGATAGTCAAGCTACTATATATAAAAATAACATCAACCCTTACTCCATTGTACACTGATGATGTTAACTAGTTGGGTAATGAAATGCCTACAAGAAAACCACCAAGCTCAGCGCCAAGGACCCTCCATTTATCAGTTGCCTCGATCATTCAAGAGAGTCTGGGTGACGCACAGTATATTAAAATGAGTAAAAAGCCATTACCAGGGAAGGAAATGTCAAGAACCAAGGCATAATGTTGCCCCACCCCAGAGTCTGCAGGAGAAATATTTGGGATGCTTGACTTTAGATAGTTGCAAAGTTTGCATGGTGACAGTTTTGACAATTACCTTTAAGCAAGTGGTAATACCTGGTTAGCTGCAGAAACAAAGCATTATGAGGACTCTGGATGGAAGACCACAGAGCACGCCAAGGCTGTAGGCTAGAGAAAGATTTTTTTTAAATAAAAGAAAGCCACTTCATATTGCTCTCAAGAAGATTACTGTACATGGATATTTCTGTGAAGTCTTATGAAGAGCCAGTTTGGTGTACAGTAGTGGCTAAGATGTTGGCCTACAAACTAGGAGACTGCGAGTTCTAATCCTGCCTTAGGCATGAAAAACTGGCTGAGTAACTTTGGGCCAGCCACTGTCTGCCCAATTCAACTCATTGGGTTTTTGTTATGGGTAAAATAGGAAGAAGAAGGAGTACTGGTATGTTTGCTGTGTTGAGCTGTATATGAAAAAAAAGCAGGTTAAAATCTAAAAAAGTGATCAGAAATTGAGGATGACTCAAGGGAAGAATGGCCTAACATGAGAATGATGTTTGGATGCAGTCACATGTTAATAACTCATTCTCCCTTTCCCAAAAGCCAGCAGATGTAAAAACAAAGGTCTTACAAGAATACAAAGTTAAAATGCACCAAACTGGTAAGAGAGCATAAGTAAAAGAGATTAGTTCAAAGAATATCAGTGGCCATTCAGCGCTTGACAAGAATGCCACTCAGTTACCATAAAAATAAAATCAGAAGAGCAAAATGTAGTCAAAAAGTAGCTGTAGAGACAGAATGTGGATTCTCTTTCTGTATTATTTTTTGAATGCACTGTTAATTGTTTGTAGGTCAAACTTTAGAAAAGCTTTGTTTATTTGTAAATAGATGTGCCTAGGATCTTAAGTATTAAAAACATCAACATTAATACAAATAATTCATTTGAATCTTATTTGGAAAAGAAGCATACCTAGATCTGGAGCTAGTAATCTGTCACCTTGGATTGTCAGACTGGTGCCTCCCTTGGATGAGATGGTCTGTTGTTTACTCTATTGAATAAATTTGGGGATAGATCACCTGTGAGAAATGATTTGTTTTTAGACACATCAGCATGTATCTGTATATTGCTTTTCTAGCATGCTTTGCTAATTATTAAGGAGTTTGGAACTTTGGGCATATGGCAGACTCTGATAAGTTCATAGGCCATAAGCAAACAGTGCATGGCAGCTTAGGATGCTGCAGTACTTTGGTTTACATGTCTGTGATGTTATTAAAGAATCTGGCCATTTTTACTTGAATTAAAAGTTTACTATAGTGCTTGCAGCTGCTTAAAATCACCTGGGATTTGCTTATGTAACAGTCACATATTTGGCTTCTAAACAGTGGGAAACGGAGCATTTTACATAGCAGGTTTAGCAAAGAGTCACCTCTTTGAAAATATTCTGTTTATTTTATATTGTCCCATCTTCCCATACGTGATGTTCTGGTTATTGTCTTTATCACGGGGTGCATTGAATATTTTAGGATTTCCAAACTAAACTGAACTGTTAAAGTAAATGATTAAAAACACAAAATACGAAGTATAGGAAAAATAATTAAATGAAGAACGTTTCAGCTGGCATACTTTCTAGGTGTGCAATAATGCTTTAAGTCTCTTTCCCACCATTTTATACGTTAGACATGCCTGCACTAATGTACAGTGTGCTATAACAAATCAAGAATCTTATGAAGAGAAGACAAGTTTTTCGAAAGGTCATTTTACTTCCTTGAATGTGGACCAGATTTGTTTGTTGTTGTTTTTTTGCTGTGTGATTTTATAATAAATCTTACCAATAGAATAAGAATTAACTATCACTTGTTTATTATTAGCCTTGCAGGAGGCTATCGGTCCTCAATTAAAATACTGCGCAAATCCATTTTTAATGTTGCTCCCACTGGTTGCCTGTAACTTTTCTAGAAGAAAAAAAAAAGACTTAAAAGTGACGTACAACACAACATTGCTGTATGTTTATGTTGAAATCGCCAGCTGTGGCCTTTCCCAGATTTTTTTTTTTTTCATCCCAGATTTCCATTCCTGCTTAGCCTTGCATTTTTTCCCCCTCAGAGTTCTTAAAATGGCAAATAGGTCGGGGTGAATTGTTGCTGAATACTTCAGCTAACTCTGTGAATCCTTTTTGCTTCAGTCAGATAATTTGAAGCACCCGACAATGGTTTGGGAAGTGAAGACAAACCAGATGCCTAGTACGGTGCAGAAAGTCCTGCTGGTGGTGGACAAGAGAATGAATGAACGAGGAATGAACGAGGCGCTGGACTTGCTGAAATGTAACGAGAATATTCCGTCTTCTCCTGGATACGCATCTTCTGACGAACATATGGAACTCGGTAAGCACCCATTAAAGATTCTTGCGTTTGAAAGGACAGCTCCTTTAAAAACCGACACAGGTAGCCCTCGTCTGACAACCACAACTGAGCCCAGGATTTCTGTTGTTAAGTGAGACCTTTGTAAAGTGAGTTTTGCCCCATTTTACGACCTTTCCTCCCAGTGAACAAAACCGTGACTGAATCTGGAGGTTCCGCTTCGGATACCACGAAGCCCCAGAAGGGAACAAGGAAAACGGGTCGCGAAGAGAATGTGTAGCGTCCCAGACAATCCTGCGGACCCTGTTCAAGCACCACTTACATATGCCAGGGAATGGATAGGAGTCAACTCCCACTAATTTTTTTCTGCCGTCCTCACCACTCTCTGCACCGGCTTCCGGCCTGAAGCAATGATACCTCCAGACCACACAGTACTACAGAGAAAGCAGAGAAGATAGAAGAACTGGATAGGAGCTGAGGTGGCGCAGCAGTTAGGGTGCAATTACTGCAGGCCACTTTAGCTGACTGTGTTCAGCAGATCAGCGGTTCAAATCTCACCGGCTCAAGGTTGACTCAGCCTTCCATCCTTCCGGGGTAGGTAAAATGAGGACCCAGATTGTTGGGGGCAATGTAAATATATATATATACATTGCTTACTGGTGTACACCGCTTAGAGAGTGCTTGCACTTAAAGCGGTATATAAGTCTCATAAATAAATAAATAAATAAATAAACTGTATCATATGGAAGGAGAGAAAGGCAATGTGGAGGATTAATACGTGAGAAAGAGCTGGTAGAGAACGCAGCACCAAGGTTGATGGAAGTTTGGGAAATGGGAGGCCTGACAGACCCCCATCCCTCCCCGGGCCGCTCGTGAACCGAAGGCCTTGCATACCCCGGAGGCCTCCCATTTTGTATTCCTAGTCCAGAGATTACAAAATATATCGAGTTTAAGATGATGGCTAGCGCGTATAGTTTATAATCAAGATCATTGTCCTGGCTGAAGCTTGGTGGAAAAGAACCAGGGATTATAAAAATAAACAGAATAACTTCCCGGAAACCAATGGCAGCAAACCAGTTTTGCAGTCCTGTCAAGAAATCTGGATGTAAAAGTTCACGAAGTTCTAAGGGCTTGAGATCCTTATGAAGAAGACATGACGTCTTCACGTTTTCATAATTTCAGGGTTTCCGAGTTTCATAAATTAAAAGTTAAAACATTACCTTTCCCTACACATTCTAAGCAAGGCGTTTCCGAACTTGGCAACTTTAAGACTTGTGGAACTTCAACTCCCAGCATGGCTGGCTGAGGGATTCTGGGAGTTGTAGTCCCCAAGGCTTAAAAGTTGCCAAGTTTGGAGATCCTTGTTCTAAGTGATTTTTTTCCCCCCATTGTGGAATCCAACGCCAAATTTCACTTTGGCTTTCAAAAGTGAAAGACTGCACCAATATTTTAGTTTCAGAGATCTAATTTCTTAGTCCTCTTTAAAAAAAAAAAACAAAAAACCTTGGGCACACTCAGATTAAAGGCCCCCTCTAACTGAATTAACCATATTTGAGGAATTAATTTCTGTGGTTTATTTTTAGTTTGCGATCTCATCCAAACATTGTATGACAGCTTCTTTCACTCAGGATAGGTGGGAATGGGTAATTGAAAATCAACCATAGTTTCATCCCTACAGTTCCTGAAGTGGACAAAATTATATCATATTCTGATAATGTGTCAATGTTAAAAAAAAACTGAGTAGTTTGCTGCTATATTAATAGCCCAGACTAAAAATATCTATTTTTTTCAGCTAAATTATAGGTCACTGCAACCTTTCATTCCAAACTCATTATTGACAACTAAAATACTTCAGGCAGTTAAAATACGTACCCTGGAGCCTGACTATTATCACATTTTGTGGCTATTTTCCATACCTTCTGTAATTTTCTGTTTTTGTGGCATCTTCACATGGTTTTTGAAAATGCTGGAGGACACGACGTGACATGTCATGCAATGAAATATTCTAATCAGGTTATTCAAACTGGATCATCAAAACTCCAGAGATTACCAGGCCAAAACACTCCAATTAATTTAATTTTCTTTAAAAAAAAACCCTTCCATATCAAGTCTCACTTTGACTCAGTGAGAGAACTTGTCTAAACAAAGAGAGATGGGCTGCTTTGTGAAATTGAAATAGTGTGCAAATTTTGTTTTTAGCTGTGCATTGTTTAGCATTGTAAATTCAAATGAGAAGCTGTTTACTTGAGAATTTTAGGCAGTTTTCATGAAGAAGGGAAATGGTTGTTTTCATTCTCAGTCCGAGGTAAGCATGAAATAGATGGTATCTGTTGTACGCTGTTAACTGAATGTGAAATATTTAGCCTCTGTTGTTATATTTCTCCGAAAGGTTTATGGGACTGACTTTTCTTCCCAGCTTTTTTTTCCTCCTAAGTAGCTTCCTTTGGATTCTTCTGTTTTACAGTAGAATACATGCTCAGTCCAGATAGTCTTGAATTTATATGTCAATCCCTTCTTTTTACACTGGCCTTATGTAAGAAGAAACAAGAGTTTGGGTTTCTTCACAAGACACCACAATCTTTTTCTGAAATTGAGTAGTAGGTTAGCATAGTCATTCAAAAGACCCAACCCAGTGATGGCGAACCTTTTAGAGACCAAGTGCCCAAACTGCAACCCAAAACCCACTTATGCATTGTTGAGTGCCAGGTGGGTGTGGCCCATTGGGTGGGCGTGGCCCATTGGGTGGGCGTGACTGCAGTGGTAACGGCAGACTGGGTGGGACTAAAAAGTTCAATCAATTCCAACTTTGCGAGATCTTTTTTTTCCCCGCGAGAAGTTGAAATTGATTGATTGAACCTTTTTTTTTTCCCCACACGGCGGAGGCCTAAAGCAAAAAGATTTTATAAAACCCAGCTGAAAGCCTAGGACTGGGGTGACGGCGCGCGTGCCCACAGAGAGGGCTCTGAGTGCCGCCTCTGGCACCCGTGCCATAGGTTCGCCACCGCTAACCTAACCCTAGAAAATATTTTTTTTCCTAGGCTTAAGGAAGGGGGTGGATCTTATTCTTACGTTGGGCTAGTTTGATTAAGTGGCACAGCGGTTAAAGTGCAAAATGGCAGACCAACTCTGCCCGCAGCCTGGAGTTTGATCCCGATGGGGCTCAGAGATGACTCAGCCTTCCGTCCTTCCCAGCTTGGTCAAATGAGGACCCAGATTGTTGGGGGCAATAGGCTGACTCTGTAAACTGCTTAGAGAGGGCTGCAAAGCACAGAATAAGAGAGTTGGAAGGGACCTTGGAGGTCTTCTAGTCCAGCCCCCCTGCTCAAGCAGAATACCCTACACTGGTTGTCCAGTCTCTTCTTGAAAACTTCCAGTGTTGGCGCATCCACTACCTCTGGAGGCCAGTCCTCCCACTGGTTAATTGTTCTCGCTGTCAGGTACGTAAGCCTAAATGCTATGGCTGTTTGTAGGAATGGATTTGACCCTGCCCGTTTCCATTGGCAGATGATCTTCCGGAATTGCAGGCGGTTCACAGCGACTCTACCCCACCCGCCCTCTTCCAGCTGAGCGCTAATATCTCACATCAGGAATACACAAGGCCTTCTTGGAACCAGCACACCTCAGGCAGCAGCCCAGAAAGTGCTTCCCCGTGCGAGGACGGAGTGAACTGGCTGACGGAGCTGGCAAACATCGCCACTAGCCCGCAGAGTCCTCTCATGCAGTGCTCGTTTTATAACACGTACGGGGTATTATGGTTACCGTTGTTCTCTATGATCGGCTAGACCTGTTTTGCATTAAAAGGCGGAGAGTATTACGTAGGCACGCAGGTGTCTGCGAGGGCGGAGGTGGCGGTTTTATTATTTTCTTCATTCCCGTTGGGAGATTTCGTACGTAACTGGTATTCTGACTTTGATGTAGTCTGCAAAGTGTAAAGGGAATAACGAATCGCCCTTACGCAGCTGGAGGGAGTCCTCGTCTTACAGCCGTTCGTTTAGGGACCGTTTGAAGGTACAGCAACACTAAAAGCAGGGACCTATAACCGTTTTTCACACTTGCATCCCCATGGGATTCGGCCGCTTAGCAACTGGCTCATGTTTACAACGGTCGCCGTGTCCTGGGGGGGGGTCACGTGACCCCCATTTGGGGACTTTCTGACAAGCAAAGTCAGTGGGGGAAGCCAGATTCGCTTAACCACCGTGTGACTAACTTAACAACTGCGGTGGTTCACTTAACAACTGGCAAGAAAGGTCGCAGAACGGGGCAAAATTCCCCTTGCTTACTTACCTCATTTAGCAACAGAAATTTTGGGCTCAATTGTGGCTGTAAGTCGAGGACATAGAATACCTGTACGTCATTTTGGAGCTGCCCTGTTTTTAATCACACTGTAAACGCAACAATAGGGGTACTTGAGTCCACACATCTAACTTGCAGAGCTGATAACTACTGAGAGCTACTGAGAACTTGCAGGGCCCTCCCTCTCTCTGTAGTAGTGCGTGACGGGTAAGACAGTCAATCAAGTCGGTATATCTTGGAAACCTTTTTCTGCTGTCACTCAAAGGGCACTAGAACGAAGGCGCTGGTAGCTTGCCAACTGGATGAATAGCTTTCATTTTTTAAAAAATATTCCGACTTAACTTGCTGAAAATACATGCTTTGGTGCAACGGAACCACTAAATCAGCTGTGAAAGCATTAAAAGAAGGACACGGTGTAACGCGCCATCAAATTATAACTCTCAGAACGGGGGATCTGCGTATGAAAAACTAAAGATTACCGTCCTGATGCGAGAGAAAATAAGATCCAAAAAAAGTGCCACACATAAATAAGTTCTTCTTCTTCTTGTGCCATATCCGTTATCGGACGTTGGCGATCATGTTGGCGATCCTGTTTTTATCAGCAGCCGCACGAAAAAGGGCTGCTGAGTTTTGTCCAAACCAGTCCTTTAGATTTGGAAGGCACGATGTTCTTCTTCTGCCTGGACCTCGTTTGCCTTCCATCTTTCCCTGGAGGATTAAATGGAGCATGCCATATTTCTTCTGGGCGTCGCATCACATGTCCGAAATATTATAATTTTTGTTTTTTTAATTGTTTTGATGATTTCCCTGGGCTTTTCCAGGTGGCTTATCACCTCCTCATTTCTGATCTTGTCAACCCAGCTTATACGTAACAGCCACCTGTAAATCCACATTTCAAATGCTTCTAGTCCAGTGGTTCTCAACCTTTTCAATGCCGCGACCCCCAACCGGTCGTAAGTCAAGGACTACTCAACTGGTGCAGCACCGTTTCCAGAATGGGACTTTTGGCGGGCTCAGCAGGGCAGAAACAGCCTGGACAATTCCTATTGGCTTTGGAAAGCCAATAGAATTAAACTCTATTCAAGAGAGTCTATTCTATTGGCTTTCCAAAGCCAATAGAATAAAAGGGAGTAGCACAGCTAAGGAAAAGGGGGAAAAAATGGTGGACTGTGTTGTTTGACGACCCCCGTGAAATGGTCGTTCGACCCCAAATGGGGTCCCGACCCACAGGTGGAGAACCACTGATCTAGTCTCTTCGGGTGGCCTTCTGTCAGAGACCAACTCTCTACTCCGTAGAGCAGGATACAAAAAATATAGCATCTGACAAGCCTGATTTTCAGTCTTAGGCTTCTGTCCTGACTGCATGTATGCATGCAGTATTCATGCTTTGAGATCCCTCCAGGATTCTTTATCAAACTGGTGCAAAAAAAGTAATAATAATAGTAGTAGTAGTAGTAATAAAGTTGGAAGGGACCTTGGAGGTCTGAGTCCAACCCCCTGCTCAGGCAGGAACTCTATACCATTCCAGACAAATGGCTGTCCAGTCTCTTAAAAAACGTCCAGGGTTGGAGCATTCACAGCTTCTGGAGGCAGGTTGTTCCACTGGTTAATTGTTCTCACTGTCAGGAAGTTTCTCCTTAGTTCTAGGTTGCTTCTCTCCTTGATGAGTTTCCATCCGTTGCTTCTCGTCCTGCCTTCAGGCGCCTTGGAGAATAGCTTGACTCCCTCTTCTTTGGGGCAGCCCCTGAGATATTGGAAGACCGCTATCACGTCCCCCTCGTCCTTCTCTTCATTAAACTAGACACACCCAATTCCAGCAACTATTGCTTATATGTTTTAGCCTCAAGTCCCCTAATCATCTTTGTTGCAAACTAGAGAAGCGGTTCTGCAATTGTTTCTCACTGTTCTTTGCTGAACGAAAAGTACCCCATTGATGAGATGGATCTGTTAATTATTTTCTGGGAACGTAGAAGCAATACGTAGCTAGCTTTTCCTAAAAGGAGCACCAACTCTCTTCTGTAAATAGGACCGTTGATTAGAATATTTGGTCTCGAGATAATGGGGTGTTCCAGGAGAAAAATATATCTCCAGCTGCAGAGTCCTCAGCGCTCTTTGGCTGGACTGTTTTCTTGCAGACACTTCCTCACCGGACCAGGTTAAGTTATAACATCTTCTGCCCTTGTTGCTACTGAGGTTAACTAGTTGGGCAGTGGAAGTGCCTGCAAGGAAACAAGCAAGCTCAGAGAGCACCAAGGATTCCATAACGGGATGCTTAGTAGAGAAATAATTTTCATGAATTAATTGAATAATTAGCTGTTTTGCTCTACCACAGCGGTTCTCAACCTGTGGGTCGGGACCCATTTGGGGGTCGAACGACCATTTCACGGGGGTCGCCAAACAACGCAGTCCGCCATTTTTTCCCCCTTTTCCTTAGCTGTGCTACTCCCTTGTATTCTATTGGCTTTTGAAAGCCAATAGAATAGACTCTCGAGTCTAATTCTATTGGCTTTCAAAAGCCAATAGGAATTGTCCAGGCTGTCTCTGCCTTGCTGAGCCCACCAAAAGTCCCATTCTGCAAACGGTGCTGCACCAGTTGAGTAGTCCTCGACTTAAGACCGGTGGAGTAGTCCTCGTCTTACGACCGGTTGGGGGGGGTCGCGGCATTAAAAAGGTTGAGAACCACTGCTCTACCAGATTCTTTTGTGCCCTTGTCTTTTTTGTAACCGAATGAAAAGAAACGGTAGTAACGATTTGAAATGTGAGCAGATATTTGCGGATAAAAGTAACCCTCTCGAGAAATTTTCTGTTGCTCAAAAACAAGCCTGAACGATGGATACTCGGAATGAACTCGTTTCAGAACCACCGACGTGGGTTACGATGTTCAAGGAATAACCAAAGGCGTTTTCACACCGTGTGACAGAATCGCTAACCTGTTGTCCTTTGTCTACCTTCTTCCCTTCCTTGATCAGCAACCGTTCACGCATTGTTTTATCATCCTTTCTTAGGTCATCTCCCGTTCACTTGCTAGCCACAAGCAAAAGTTTACATTCCTATGCACGCCCACCGCCAGAATCCTGTCCGAGCGAGACAGTTTTTCCCAAGCACCACGTGGAGGAAACGCCAATCAGACACGAAAGGGTAAATTCCGTGTGTTGAAGTTGCTGAAGATCAGAAACACTTTTTTTTTAAAAAAAGGAACCCTCATAAAGCATGACTTTTGTATGGTACTCCTTCACAGCTTTATTTATTTAGCACAGTGGTTCTCAACCTTTCTAATGCCGCGACCCCATAATACAGTTCCCCATGTTGTGGTGACCTCCAAGTGGGTGTGGCCACAAATAAGAGGGAGTAGGACAGCTAGGGAAAAGGGAAAAAAATGGCGGACAGCATGGTTTGGCAACCCCCGTGAAATGGTCGTTCGACCCCAAATGGGGTCCCGACCCACAGATTGAGAACCACTGCCTTAAAGGATTAGACTTTAAAGAGAAAAAAATCAACCATCATCATCATCATTATTATGACTATTATTATTAACAATAATAATAACAGCAATTATTATTATTTGGCACCTATCTCATCCTAGTGCTGCTAAATAAATAAAAAGGATGTTTAAACACAGCGAAACTCAAAATAATAGAACAATAAAACAAAAAGCAAACAAAGAAAATACACTGAGGACTAGTAATTATTATGCTGCGTGTTTATATAAGGAATGTAGGAAGGCTACTAAGCATAATTTAAAAAAAAATATAGAATTTAGGACTACGCAGGAAAGGCACGGAAATGGTTCAGTAAAAAAACAACTCCGGAAAGTCTGCTGTTTCAGGGAGTCCCCTGAATCAACCATTTGTGCGAACAGACAACAGAAATCTATACGTGCAAACTGTGGTTTTATTTTTTTTTTTTCAACAGACAAACAGTGAATCGGAGTCTGGCATTTTCTGTATGTCATCCTTGTCAGACGATGATGATCTGGGATGGTGCCACTCTTGGCCTCCAACTGTTTGGCACTGTTTCCTTAAAGGTAAAACACACTCCCGTTATATGACTGGGTTTAACACTCAGGTTTATCTTTACGGTTACGCTGAGTTCTTTTCTTTTTTCTAAATTTTTTTTTTAAAAAAAAAAATTAGGAACACGTTTATGCTTCCACAAAGGACGCAATAAAGAATGGATAGATGTTGAAGATTTTGCTGGATTGGCCAGCTGCAGAAACCAAGCTGATGATTCGGTGGGTGCTTATAAAGTAAGTTCTGAGGTTTTTTTTTTTTTCTTATTGCAATTTATAAGAGGAAAATCGATCAGAATATTGCTGGAAGGGACCTTGGAGGTCTTCTAGTCCAGCCCCCTGCTCAGGCAGGAGATCCTATACCATTTGTGACAAGTGGCTATCCAATCTCTTCTTCAAAACTTCCAGTGATGAAGCACCTACAACTTCTGGTGACTTCTGGTTAATTGTCTTCCCTATTAGGAAATTTCTCCTTAATTCCAAGTTGCTTCTCTCCTTGATTAATTTCCATCCATCGTTTCTTGCCTTGCCTTCTGGAGCTGTGGAAAATAAGTTGACCCCCTCCTCTTTGCAACAGCTCCTCAAATACCGGAACACCGCTATCTTGTCAACCCTGGTCCTCCTTTCCTCTAGACTGGCCTCACCCAATTCCTGCAACCGGGAAGCATTTATGCGAAGGGAAAGCATTTTTGCAAATCGACTAAATGCAGTGAAGTAATTCCCATCACAGAAATGACTGAGAATAGCATTGTGACATGATAGGGAGATTGCTGCTTGCTTACTCACCCCGGAGTGTTGCAATTTCCCCAGCACCAGCAGATGAGCAGTCAATCACATGGCTGTACTTTACTATCTATCTATCTATCTATCTATCTATCTATCTATCTATCTATCTATCTATCTATCTATCTATCTATCTATCCTTCTATCTATCTATCTTGAGTGTTTCTTGATGCACCCTGTCGGGCCAAATATGGGAGAAAGAAATCTTCTTTCTTTTTCTTTTCTTTTTTTTTGCCTATATCAGCTCAATCCAGAGCCATCCACAGGCAGCAGTCGCAACTGCGACATCATTTATATTATAAAATTTGGATTGCTAACAAAGAATTAAGGGAAAATGGGATAGCTATTTCGAGTTTCTTAACTCTCTTCAGCCAAACAGCTGCCTAACATGCACACAGCCCAGGCTCGAATCTCAGAAGGGTATGTTTGGCTGAAGAGAGTTAAGAAACTCGAAATAGCTGTCCCATTCTCCCTTAATTCTTTGTTAGCAATCCAAATTTTATTATATGTGTGTGTGTGTCTGTGTGTGTGTGTGTCTGTTTCCTAAAGTGCTGATTCATTTGTACTCAGTGTAGTTTGTAGCAACTCCTGCCCCTTGTGGTTGATCCGGCAAGCAGTGCAGTCGCCTTGAAAACCCTAATGATTGAAGCCTTTAATTTCGTAGAAAACAAGGAAGTGGCTTAGATGGGAGAGAGAGACTGCGACGCGGCTCTCGGCTAACGGTTGTGTTTCCGCAGGGCTACGCCGCTGACGGATTGAAACTGATCTCGCATGAAGAGAGCGTTTCGTTTGGTGAGTCAGTACTCAAGCTGACTTTTGATCCTGGCACAGCAGCCAAGGATTTACTCACTGTGGAGTGCAGACTAGATCACCCCTTCTATGTTAAAAATAAAGGTAAGAAAATGTTCCGGTTTTTCATCCACAATGGAAGGGGGGGGGGAGGGGAAGAACATTCCTATATAGGTAGTCCTTGAATTACCATCCCAATTGAGGCCAAAATTTCTGTTGCTAAGCGAGACAGTCGTTAAGTGAATTTTGCCCCAGTTTATGATTTTTCTTGTCACAGTAGATTAATAATAATAATAATAATAATAAAGTTCGAAGGGACTTAGGAGGTCATCTAGTCCAACCCCCTGCTCGGGCAGGAAACCCTATACTATTTCAGACAAGTGGCTGTCCAGTCTCTTCTTAAAAACTTCCAGTGTTGGAGCATTCACCGCTTCTGGAGGCAGGTGGTTCCACTGGTTAATTGTTCTCACTATTAGGAAGTTTCTCCTTAGTTCTAGGTTGCTTCTCTCTTTGATTAGTTTCCATCCGTTGCTTCTTGTCCTGCCTTCAGGTGCTTTGGAGAATAGCTTGACTCCCTCTTCTTTATGGCAGCCCCTGAGATACTGGAAGACTGCTATCACGTCCCCCCTCGTCCTTCTCTTCATTAAACTGGACATACCCAATTCCAGCAACTGTTAAGTCAATCAGTGCAGTTCTCAAGTTAATAACACCATTGTTAAATTCAATCTTTGTTTTCGTGGCCTAGAATTAACTGAATTTGGGAAGTCTGCCTGGAGTTTTTTTTTTCCCCCAGACCAAATCATTATTTTGGAGTTTCTTTCTTCAGCTTTACAGTTTCTCAGGAAAAAAAATGGTCTAATGGTTAAGATACCAGATTGTAGGAATGGAGACTGTCGAGTTCAAAGTCCCGCCGTAGCCGCAAAAACCAGTGGGTGGATCTTGGGCCAACCCACCTCACAAGGTTGTTGTGTGGAAAATAAGAAAGAGGAAGGTGTACTGGACATGTTTGCCTCCTTGAATTATTTCTACAAATATTAAAGATGGGTTATAAATAAATAATAAAAAAATACATTTCTCTTCCATTAACCGTTTGTCGTTTTCCCATTTCCAAGGCCGGGTAGAACTCATGTCACCGCTGCTTCCTTCCCTTTTGGCTAAACTCATCTAGTTTTGGACATTGCTGGATCTGAAGGCCACGTAGCATCCCTCTTAATTATTTCTATTTTGTTCAGGTTGGTCTTCTTTTTATCCAAGTTTGACTGTGGTCCAGCATGGCATTCCATGTTGTGAAATGCACGTTGGCGACATCTGTCTACCTCGTGGACACCCTGAGGCCATAAACTTTGATGATTCTGGTGTTTTTGATACATTCAAAAGGTAAATCTTAAAAAGCAGAGACTAAATGTAAAACTGAGTATTTGTTTTCTGAGGTTTTCGCGGGTGTTTGTATGTAGGTTTTGGTTATTCAGGTTTTCTCCCACGTAAAATTGGAAGTGTCCAATTTTACATGGGAGAAAACCCGAATAACCAAAGACCTACATATAGGAGTATATTTCAACGCTGAGTAAGAGCAAACAAATTGGATTATAAACCCCACCTCCCTAAAATTAAGCTATTTCAATTAATGCATACGCTCTTTTTAAACATGTTGTTTTAAACTGGTATATTCTAAAGGAAGTTTTTAATGCTGTTTTGGAGTATATACTTATTTAATTGAAAATTCTAGCTTCACCTGTAGTATCCTTACAAATTACAGACCGATTAAACTTCTTCCACTAGAGGGCGGAAGACTTCCAATTTTAGACTCTGCAAACGGTCTCTTTTAAGTTGGAAGCCCACGTTTAAAAGTATTCCGTGCAAAGATTATTTATTTAGTTCCTCAGCTACAGTTCTGAAAGTAGAATAGGAATAATTTTAAGCTTATTTAATCAAACTTTAAAGTCATTTGCATTTTTTTTATACGATGCCGGGTTTCCTGGTAACAAAAATGGGCTAATCTGTCACTTAAAAGACGGTAGCATGGGTAGTAAAACTACGTTGTTATGTGTGGGGTCCTTGGTGCTGCCTGAGCTTCTTGCAGACATTTCATGACCCAACTGGGTAACATCATCAGTGTTAGAAGGGAGTGGGGTTTGCTCTCTGTTCATATATAAATGGTCTGCTCAAGAACACTTCCACCACTGACAGGGCAAGATCCTTAGAGACCAAACCCCACTCCCTTCTAGCACAGATGATGTTACCTAGTTGGGTCAAGGAAACCACCAAGCTCAGAGAGCACCAAGGATTCCACAGTCCTCCCCCTCCCCCTCCCCACAAACCTTCCCTCCTAGCACTGATGACGTTCCCTAGTTGGGTCATGAAATGTCTGCAAGAAAACAACCCAGCTCAGAGGGCACTAAGAACCCCACAGTCCTCCTCCTCCTTCCCTTCCTCCTCTCAACAACCCCCCCTTCCTTCTAGCACTGATGATGTTAGCTAGTTGGGTCATGAAATGTCTGTAAGAAAACAACCAAGCTCAGAGAGCACCAACGACCCCATAGTCCTCTTCCTCCTCCTCCCCCTCCTCCTCCTCTCCACAACCCCCCTCCCTTCTAGCACGGATGATGTTACCTAGTTGGGTCATGAAACGTCTGCAAGGAAACCACCCAGCTGAGGGAGCCCCACAGTCCAATCCTCAGCTGCAGATATTCTCTTCTATGGATCTGTCGTTAGGTACTATTGGCGAGTAAGCCCCGGATTCGTTTCTAAAGCGACATTTTTTTTCCAGTTACGATTTTACACCCCTGGACTCGTCCGCAGTCTACGTGCTAAGCAGCATGGCTCGTCAAAGGCGCGCGTCTTTATCCTGCGGGGGGTCTGGGAGCCAAGACTTTGAAAGATCCGACTTTGGGCCTGCACCGCCGACACCGACGTCCTCCGTGTTCAGTAAATCTGGCAAAAACCACAACTCAGGGACTGCAAGTACTGTTAGTGCCACTTCCCCCAACAAATGCAAAAGACCAATGAATGCCTTCATGCTTTTTGCCAAAAAATACAGAGTGGAATATACCCAAATGTACCCAGGAAAAGATAACAGGTAAAGGACCTCCTCGTTCTGATGTACATACGTATATATGATGTGCATATATGATGTATATTCACCTCTGGCCTGCTGTTGACGAAATAAAGATTCGTTGTCTTTAGATTTTGCAGTAAAACCTTATTTTAGACCGCAGAATGTGTACTGTCAACTTGAAATGTAATGAGCGAGCGAAATGCATCCAGGTATTTCAATTTACGCAAGCTTACATACTTAGCTTGGATTTTATCATTCAATGGCTCCAAACATTATAGGGATGGAGTTAGGATAGATGCCAGTAAATAGATTCTAGATAAACTCTATTAAAATGAAAAAAACTGACAAATAGCACAGGTGTAATCAAATGGGGAAGTCAGATTAACTTAACAACCGTGTTCCTGATTTAACAACTTTTATGATTCTCTTAACAAACGTGGCGAGAAAAATCGTAAAATGGGACAAAACTTAACTTTTACCGTTTGTTTAATGACCGAAGCTACTACGCCAACGAAAAAGTGACTTACGACTGTTTTTCGGACTTACAACCATTGTAGCCTCCCCACGGTCATGTGATAAATAATTCAGATGCTTGGCAACTGACTCATAGTTGTGACGGTTACAGTGTCCCCTTTTGTGACCTAATGGGGAAGCCAGATGCCTTTAACAACCAGGTTAGTAACAGGTTACTAACAACTGCAGTGATTCATTTAAAAACTGTGGCAAAGAAAAGTCATAAAACTCAACCAATGTCTAGGCCAGTGTTTCTCAACCTTGACAATTTTAAGGCATGTGGACTTCAACTCCCATTGCTGGCTGTGGAATTCTGGGAGTTGAAGTCCACATGCCTTAAAATTGTCAAGGTTGAGAAACACTGGTCTAGGCCAAACATAAATGTTCAGCTCAATTGTGGTCGTAAGCCGAGGACAGCATGTAGTTCTTCTGGGCTTTATTTATTTTATTTTTATTTTGTTTGAAATGGTATAGGGTTTCTGGCCTGAGCAGGGGGTTGGACTAAAAGACCACCAAGGTCCCTTCCAACTTTTTATTATTATTATTATTATTATTATTATTATTATTATTTGGTCCACCATCAACTATTAGGCAGATGGTTATGGACATCCTGACTCTCATGCAGAATAAATGCACAGAGATGTATGGACGGGGCGTCGTTGCACAATATTAAACATGCAAATTGTTCCTTGTTAGTCCATCAACCTAGCCTTACTGGAGGCCTAGATCAAATACAGGTAGTCCTCGACTTACGACGAGCTGAGCCCAGAATTTACGTTGCTAAGAGAGACGGGCGCTAAGGGAGTTTTGCCCCCATTTTACGAGCTTTCTTGCCACAGCGGTTGAGCCAAGCGCTGCTGTCAAGTTAGCAACACGGTTGTTAAGTGAATCCGGCTTCCCCCGTCGACTTTGCTTGTCGGAAGGTCGCAAAAGGGGATCGCGTGACCCCCCCCCCAGGGACACGGCAACCATCATAAATACAAACCAGTTGCCAAGGGTCTGAATTTTAACCACATGGCCATGGAGAATGCTGCAATGGTCATAAGTGTGAAAAAGCCGCTTTTTCCCATACCGTTGTCAGTTTGAACGGCCGCTAAACGAACTGTTGTAAGTTGAGGGCGACCTGTGTATTCCAACTCAGCGCCGAGATCGAGAGGTGTACAGTGTTCCTGAAAAAAAAACACCCCTCCAGTTTTGTGAAGGCTTTTGAAACATAACCCTAGACATAACATTAATCTCAAAGAGTTGCACAACTCCCGCTTACGATCAGAGTATTATGGAATAGTTAAAAAAAAAAATGCGCCGAGGATAGAAATAATCAAGTGCTGAAGCGTTTCCTGGATCCCTTCCCCCCCCCCCCCGCCCGGTAAGGAAATAGGGAAATTGACATTCCATTATTGCTGGCTTGAATTGAGTCTTCTCCTGATATATTTCTTCTGCAGAGCCATAAGCGTCATACTTGGAGACAGGTGGAAGAAAATGAAAAACGAGGAAAGACGGATGTACACGTTAGAAGCCAAGGCCTTGGCTGAAGAACAGAAACGCTTGAATCCTGATTGCTGGAAACGGAAACGAACAAATTCAGTACGTTGTTTTCTACTGTCGCCCTTTCCTATCTATCTATCTATCTATCTATCTATCTATCTATCTATCTATCTATCTATCTATCTATCTATCTATCTCTTTATATCATCTATCTATCTATCATCTATTTATCTATTGAGATAGATAGATACAGACAGACATGATAAATAGATAGATAGATAGATAGATAGATAGGTAGGTAGGTAGGTAGGTAGATAGATAGATAGATAGATAGATAGAGAGATGATAGAGAGATGAGATGATAGAGGATAGAGATGATAGATAGATGATAGATAGAGACAGACAGATGACAGACATGATAGTATCTATCTATCTATCATCTCTCTATCATTCTATCATCTCTCAACTCTCTATCATCTATCATCTCTCTATCATCTATCATCTCATCTCTATCATCTCTCTATCATCTTTATGATCTATCATCTCTGTCTATCATCTCATTTATCTCTCTATCATCTATCTATCTATCATGTCTGTCATCTGTCTGTCTCTATCTATCATCTATCTATCATCTCTATCCTCTATCATCTCTATCATAGATGATAGAGAGATAAATGAGATGATAGACAGAGATGATAGATCATAAAGATGATAGATGATAGAGATGAGATGATAGATGATAGAGAGATGATAGATGAGAGTTGAGAGATGATAGAATGATAGAGAGATGATAGATAGATAGATAGATAGATAGATAGATAGATAGATAGATAGATAGATAGATAGAGCTATAGATAGATCTTGGTGTACTGTAAAATGGGGGTCTGCAACCCCCAGGCCGTGGACCGGCACCACACAAACAAGCGAAGCCTCATCCGTGGGATGCAGACAGCACACAAAACCATGCCCCCTCCGGTCCGTGGAAAAACCTCTCTCTACGGAACCGGTCCCTGGCAAACCAAAGGTTGGGGACCTCTGTTGTAGAATACGTCTTACCGGAAGAAACTGTTAGTAAAATCCAGCATTCTACAAGCCTCCACCTTTCCTGTCTAGATCTCGAAGGAGACACCCTCTCCTGTTCCAGGGGATCCTTGGAAGAGTAACAGGGTTATTCCAGAAGACCTACCAGAAGTAGACACGGACCATGTCACTTTTTCCAGTGCCGTTGCAACTTCAAACAGTCCCTAAGTGAACTGCTGCAAGTCGAGGACTATCTGTAGTTGAAATTGCACCTCTTACTTCCCACGCCTGACTGAAAGTTTTGACACCACCACCACCACCCCCTTATAGAGACCAGTCATTGTAGTCTGAAATGCTGCAGGTATCCAGGAGTACAAGTTTTTTATTATTTATTATTATTATTATTATTTCATTTAATAAACCTATATTTTAAGAAATACGATAGGGTGTGTGTCGCCCTCCCCAATTCCAATCTCCCAAAGCATATGAATAATCTGGAATATCATTAGTTTGTATGCATTTGTATGTTTGACAAATATAGGTCAAACCTGACTTTTCAACCTGCCAGAATTGGGATGAAGGGCATAGGGAATTAGAATAGAATAGAATAGAACAGAATATAGAATAGAACAGAATTAGAATAGAATAGAATAGAATAGAACAGAATATAGAATAGAATAGAATAGAATATATGGGATAGAATAGGATAGAATAGAATAGAACAGAATAGAATAGAACAGAATATAGAATAGAATAGAATAGAATAGAATAGAATAGAATAGAATAGAATAGAAGAGCCGAGGTGGCGCAGCAGTTAGAGTGCAGTACTGCAGGCCACTTTAGCTGATTGTGTTCAGCAGGTCAGCGGTTCAAATCTCACCGGCTCAAGGTTGACTCAGCCTTCCATCCTTCCGGGGTAGGTAAAATGAGGACCCAGATTGTTGGGGGCAATGTAAATATATATATATACATTGCTTACTGGTGTACACCGCTTAGAGAGTGCTTGCACTCAAAGCGGTATATAAGTCTAATAAATAAATAAATAGAATAGAACAGAATATAGAATAGGATAGAATAGAATAGAACAGAATATAGAATAGAACAGAACGTAGAATAGAATAGAACAGAATATAGAATAGAACAGAATATAGAATAGAATAGAATAGAACAGAATAAAGAATAGGATAAGATAGAATAGAATAGAACAGAATAAAGAATAGGATAAGATAGAATAGAATAGAATAGAACAGAATATAGAATAGGATAGGATAGAATAGAATAGAACAGAATATAGAACAGAACAGAACAGAATAGAATAACAGAATAGAACAGAACAGAACCTTGGAAGTCTTCTAGTCCAGCCCCCAGCAGGAGAACCTATATCATCTCAGACAAGTGACTGTCTAGTCCAGGGGTAGGCAACCTTGGCCCTTTTATGACTGGTGGACTTCAACTCCCAGAATTCCTGAGCCAGCCAGGCTGAGGGGAAAGGGAGAGGTTTCCAAGCTGAGCCAGGCTGGCTCAGGAATTCTGGGAGTTGAAGTCCACCAGTCATAAAAGAGCCAAGGTTGCATATCCCTGAACTAGTCTCTTCTTTAAAATCTCCAGTGATGGAGCGCCCACGATTTCTGGTGGCAAGCTGTTCCATTGGTTAATTGTCCTCGCTGTCAGGAAGTTTCTCCTTAATTCCAGGTTGCTTCTCTCTTTGATCAGTTTCCATCCGTTGTTTCTCGTCCTTCCCTCTGGTGCTTTGGAGAATAACATGACCTCCCCCCCCCTTAATTTGTTTAGTGATCATTCAAAGTTAGCGCAGCGCTGGAAAAAGTGACTGATGACCATTTTCCACACTTAGCAGCGTCCCTGTGGGTCACATGACCAAAACGAAGAGCCTTGGCAACTGACTCGCATTCATGCCTGTTCCAATGGTCCTGGGGGGGTGTCCCGTGACCTCCCCCCAATTTTTGTGACCTTTCGACAAGCAAAGTCAATGGGGAAGCCATATTCACTGAACTGACCTAACCGCTGCAGTAATTCATTGAACAACTGGCAAAAAAGGTCATAACATGGGGGGGGGGAATCATATCAACAACCGTCTTGCTTAGCAACAGAAATTACGGACTCCAGTTGCGCTCGTAAATCGAGGACTACTTGTTAATTTACTAGAGCCAAGCCTGCAGCATGTTCTTTATGTCCACTTTAATTTGGGGGGGGGGGGCGGCTGTTAGGAAAATTGGACCAAGAACACGTAATTCGTATTTCCGCGCACCAATGTCGTCCCTTGTCTTTTGGCTTTAATGAGCGTTTTCATCTGTCTTGTCTTTTGTCGCAGGGGTCCCAGTAGCACCGAGTTCGAATTCTAATCAATCCGTGGTGGTGGAAGGCACGATCAAGGCTTCGTGATTCGTTGTGGCGGTGTGACTATAATAACACGGGGCATCACGGGGTCACTTAGGAATGAAGTTTTGCTTATTACAGTAGAGCGTTAAGCAAGCTAAAAGTATCAACGTATTTTTTTAAAAAAAAAAACAACCACCACCAACCAACCAACCAAATTGCCTTATTATTATTTTTCCTTCCAAACTACACACATATATATATATATCTTATCAGGTGTAACAAGCTTGAATACGGATATCCTGTGGTGCTAAGGAATATTAGGAAGAAGAGAATCTTGTATAAAAAGTGTTTTGTTTTCTAAGGACAAAAATAAAAGAAAAATGCACAAAAAAAGGGGAAGTTTAGAACATGTTAACATCTGTTTTATAGTACAATTCCTATTGCTGATTAATACGTGTTGCACAAACTATGTAATGAACTACAAAATTTTGGCAAGCTGGGGATTTTTCTGACAATAAATAGATGAACTTCTCGTTTTGCCCAGTGCCAACGGAGTATCGGAACGTGGGGCAAAGCGAATAGTATAATGTACACTATATGTAGCAGATTGTTTTCGATATGGGAAGGTGTCACATGGATAATTTATATTTGGGGGTGCCTTCCCATGGTAAAAGGCTGGCGAGAAGCCTGAGCTGCATTGGAAAAAGATGATTAAACCCACGAGCAGATTGCATTGTTCAAGACGAATGGTGCTTTCGTTAATACCTTCATTTAATTAATTTTTTTCCCTATGTTGCGTATTTTAAAAGATTTTATTTTGCCACATCCTTTTTTTTTTTTTTAACGGTGGGGACAAACCTTGCACTTATTTTCGGTGCAATATTTGCACTTTACTTTTATTTTATTTTTCTCCCCCCCCCTCCATCTATCTAAAAACAGAGCAGATATATTCGATCTATGGCTACTTTTTGCTGTGAACATTTACAAAACATAGCTTTTTAATATTACTAAATAGTGTGGTTTCTGCCAAGAATCACCAGAAATTTCAGCACCTGATATGTACGTCTTACATGTTTTGCTCCTATGATTTTGCACACTGTATTCTTGTATTATTTCAAATAAATTGTAAAAAAAATTATTCTTCTATATTTTCTCTATATAAAATATATGAAGCTATCACAGTCAAGTCTCGTGTGTTGATGTTACCGATCGCTTAACTGGAGGGAAGGCTTGGAAAAAAAAAAAAGGGACAGGTAGAAATATTTTAATTCCATTTCCAGTTATAACATCGTACACGTTACACTGAAGTAATCTGAAATATTTTATCAATCAACTTGTATATATTTTCAAACTCTAGAACGGGTGGCTGAAAAGAAAACATGAAATCCAAGCGTATTTTTTTTTTCCTTGTCAATTTAGGATTAGCTTGTTTTTTGCCAGTGCGGGGGGGGGGGAAAGCCTTTTCGAACAGAAATGTTTGGTTTTTAAATTAAAACCAGAAAATATATATAAAAAATACCATTTAGAAAAAGCTGAGAGATGCAGAATTGCAGAATGCATTTGAGTACAAAAGTCAAACAGGCTGTCCGTTGTGCGTGGGTCAACAAGTCTGAAAGAGTTGCTACTGGTACGAATTCAGGAGTTATACCGTATTTGCTGATCACGGGCTGCCAGCGTGTTTTGCAGGAAGCCATTTACGGGAGAGAGTTGAGTGCTTTCTGCAGCAGCTGCACCATTACGGGATAGACCGGGGCAAATTCTTTGCCTTCTCTGCTTCTTACAGATTGGACGTAGGCTTCCAGGGCACCCCTGGCTCAAAGAGAGAAGAGACTGGAATGAAAGCTCTTTCGTTATTATGAAACTAACAATACTGTAGCTCTCAAAAGGGTTTGTTTCTTTGTTGCTTAGGTCTAAACTAACTGACCTTATCGTTACACCCTGGCATTCTCACTCTCTCTCTCTCTTCCCCCCTTTCCCTCCCCCCTCTCTTTCCCTCTCTCCCTTGCTTTCCCTCTCTTTCCCTCTCCTTTCTTTCCCTCTCCTCATTCCCTTTCTCCTCCCTCTCCTCTTTCCCTCTCTCTCCTCTCCCTCTTTCCCTCCCTCTCCTCTTTCCCTCTCCCCTATCCCTCTCCTCTCTTCCCCCTCTCCTCTCTCTCCTCTCTCTCTCCCCCTTTACCTCTCCCTCTCCTTTTTTTCCCTCTTCCTCTTTCCCTCTTTCCCTCTCCTCTCTCTTCTCCCCTTTCCCTCTCTTCCCCCTCTCTCCTCCTCCCTTTCCTCTCCCTCTTTACCTCTCCCTCTCCTCTTTTTCCCTCTCCCTCTTTCGCTCTCCCTCTTTCCCTCTCCTCTCTTTTCTCCCCTTTCCCTCTCTTTCTTCCCCCTCTCCTCTCCTCCCTCTCCTCTCCCTCTTTCCCTCTCGCCTCTTTCCCTCTCCTCTTTTCCTCTCCTCTCTCTTCTCCCCTTTCCCTCTCCTCTCTCCTCCGTCTCCTCTCCCTCTCTTTCCCTCTCCCTCTCTCCTCCCTCTCCTCTCCCTGTCCCTCTCTCCTCTCTTTCCCTCTCCCTCTTTCATCTTTCCCTCTTTCTTTCCCTCTCCTTCCTCTCTCTCTTTCTCTTTCCCTCTCTCCTCTCTCCCTCCCTCCCTCTTTCCTGTGTGTGTGTGTGTGTGTGTGTGTGTGTGAGAGAGAGAGAGAGAGAGAGAGAAAGAGAGAGACAATGTTCAGGTAGTCCTTGACTTACAACCACAATTGAGCCCAAGCTTTCCGTTGCTAAGAGCCATTTGTTAAGCGAGTTTTGTCCCACTTTATGACCTTTCCTGCCACAGTTGTGAAGCGAATCACTGCAGGGTTGCTAAGTTAGTAACACGGATGTTAAGTGAATCTGGCTTCCCCCCTTGGCTCTGCATTTTTTTGTGTGTGTAAGGCAACCCCTGAATCTGTGTAGGTCACACCGTGCAAACAGAAGCAGTGAAGCATTGTGTAATTATTCCAAAAGACGCTCGCCTTACAAAAACTGGCCCTCGTAGCTAAGGACTAAAACAGTTGTCTTTCAAACCTGGCTCCATTTCAGATGCGTGGATTTCAACTCCCAGGATTCCCCAGTGGAGAATTTTCTCCCGGTGGAGAATTCTGGGAGTTGCAAGTCCACACATCTTAAAAAGGTGCAGAATTCAAATACCAGGGTGTGAGAGCGAGCGATTTAACTTTTAAAAAGTTTTTTAAAAGGCCAAACAACATGAAGAACAAGACAAAAAGAGACAAAGGGGGAAGGAGGGAGAGGGAGAAAACGACAAAAAGCTCACAAGGGACATGCTAAGAAGCAGTTGTAATAAAGGTAAAAGGCACTAAAATCTGTGCTTCCGTTGACTGGCTCCAAATCGTTAAAGCAGTCTGCAGAAACAACGAACGAGCCGAGAACTTTTGTGAGAACTGGATCAACGCGGAGGTTGCATCGGAGCAATATTCCGACACATTTTTCCACCTTGCTTGCTAAGATGGAAAGAAGGAAGGCGTTCATGAGCCAGAGTGGTTTGGCTTTGGTTTATGAGTGTCAGCCATTCTGTACCCAGAACAGGCATGGAAGAGCAGTGGTGGTCAAAAACGAGACTGAAATATTCCTAAATTAATCTCCCCCCCCCAAAAAAATTAAAATATATGTCTGACCGTATTAAAATGAGTCGCTCTTTCTCTGCCGGATGGTCATCTAGCCACCGCGAGTAACGGGCAACGGTCCAGTCTGCTCTCTTTCAGGATCATAAATGAAAACAGGTGGTTATTGACACAAATAACTTGAGGGAGACGGGCAAATGATGATAGTAGCAAAAGGGTGAACTTGTTTTGAGACCGCTCGGCAGGGGATGCCAAAGAACACGACAGATTGCGATAGAACCGTTGCTAGCAGTGTTTCTCAATCTTGTGGAAGATGGGTGGACGTCAACTCTCAGAATGCTTGAAGACACTTGGACCTCAACCGTGCTGGCTGGGGTCTTCTGGGAGTTGAAGTCCACCCGTCTTCAAGTCGCCACCGTTGAGAAACTCTGATCTATTAATACAGTTGTTGTTGTTAGTTGCGAAGTCGTGCCTGACCCATCGCAACCCCATGGACAACGTTCCTCCAGGCCTTCCTGTCCTCTACCATCTTCTGGAGTCCATTGAAGCTCACGTCTACTGCTTCAGGGACTCCATCCAGCCAACTCCTTCTCTGTCGTCCCCTTCTTCTCTTGCCCTCCATCTTTCCCAGCATCAGGCTCTTCTCCAGGGAGTCCTTCCTTCTCATTAGGTGGCCAACATCCTTGAGTTTCAACTTCAGGATCTGGCCTTCTAAAGAGCAGTCGGGGTTGATCTCCTCCGGGACTGACCGGTTGGATCGCCTTGCAGTCCAAGGGACTCGCAGGCGTCTTCTCCAGCACCATAGTTCAAAGGCCTCCATTTTTTGGCGCTCGGCCTTTCTTATGGTCCAGCTTCCACAGCCATCCATTGCAACTGGGAAAACCATGGCCTGGACTATACAGAGCTGATTGTAAATGCAGCTTTAAATACAAACAAACTGTCTCAGTGAGATCTGCTTAGCATTCAGCAATTCTGAAATGATGGATAAATTAAGGGGCCAAAGCGATCAATCTCCCAAGAAATTTTGCTTGGAGATGAATCCAACTCTCCTTCGTTTGGCGATAGCTGGGAGAGATTGTAGAGAGGCTGGGAAAGGCACAGAAAGGAGAGCAGGGGTCAAGAGACAAGAAACCCACTGTAAAGGTAAGTCATAGATGGCAATTTAATTCAAGGTTGCAAGAAGGCCAAGCTGTTGTGTGTTTCAAGGCATTTAAAGAGGAACTTGCCTTCAAGGAGTTCACCAATCAGTGAGGCTGGGAAATTCCTCTCCCCGTTTCCCAGATTCTGTGTTTATCTCAGAGAGGCAATGAAAACACCTTAACTAAAACCTATTTTTTCCATGCTTCCTTAAATTTCTCTAGCTATCCTGGGCCGAGCCAAGAGCGTTGTTGACACTACAGATAGCTCTGGATAAAACTAGAATGCTCATTGTTGTTTTTTGTCCTTGCTCATAAAAATATTTTTATTATTATTATCTAACTACTTAACACGGAAGGGAACATAACGCAGAAATACATCCCTTAAGCCCTTAAGAGCAGAAGGGATATTATTAAAAGACCAGCTTCTTTGCTTAAAAACCTAATATTATGCCGTAATGCTTTTGCTAGCCTATAAGATGCCTCAGGGCATTCTGTGCTTTTTTTTTTTTTTTTTTTTGCTGCCACAGCCTAACACAATTCCCTCCGCAAACAGGGAATAAATGTTTCTTGAGGGCCTTCGTTCCATAGTCAGGATTTATACTCCTTTATTTCTGAACTGGAAGAACGCTGTTCATGGGGTCGCGATGGGTCGGACACGACTTCGCAATTAACAAAAACAATTTCTGAACTTGTGATTGTAATGATTTAAGAAAGTCTGCGATGAACATCCCAGCTCTCTGCTTAGAAATATGCTACTGTTGGAAATTGAAACAGACTGGAAAAGGCCCACAACCTTCTGCAGAGAGTCCTCGAACGTACAACCACAACTGACCCAAGATTTCTGTTGTTAAGTGAGACGTTTGTGAAGTGAGACGTTTGTGAAGTGAGTTTTGTCCCCTTCTGAAACCATTCTTGCCTCGGTCGTTAAGTCAAGCACTGCAGGTGAGAAGTTAGTAATTCGGTTGTTAAGTGAGTCTGGTCTTCCCACTGACTTGACTTGTCAGAAGGTCGCAAAAGGAGATCACGTGACCCTGGGACACGGCAACCGTCACAAATATGAGTCAGTCGCCAAGGGCCCGAATTTTGATCACCTGATCCTGGGGAGGCTGCAGGGGTCATAAGGGTGGAAAAGGGTCTCAAGTCCCTTTATTCAGTGCCGTTGCAACTACTGAACGGTCAGTAAATGAACGGTTGAGGTAGCAGGAACGTCTCATCTGTCGAAGGCAACCCGGTGTTGAGCACACAGGTGTCCTGGCTGGGGCCACTGGAGAGAAATGGGTCATCCCCCCCCCACATGTTGATGTCCGATTTGGTAGAAAAGGTTTACGTCGTCTCATTACCTGGAATGGGGACTTCAATTCGGGAGGCGCCCTCGTAAATAAGAACTGGATGATGGTACTGTATGGAATGATGTCTCCCACCGCGGGGCTGTTGGAAATATGCTCGCTGGTCTGGAAGAGCAGGGGTCTGTTGGAGGAGGAGGAGGAGGAGGCACGATGGAGGAGGAGCAGGCACGAGGAGATCAGGACGTTAAGACCAGGGGTCTTCAAACTTGGCCCTTGGATGACTTGTGGACTTCAACTCCCAGAATTCCTCAGCCAGCGTGCCTCCAAGGAAGGAAGGAAAGAAAGAAAGAAAGAAAGAAAGAAAGAAAGAAAGAAAGAAAGAAAGAAAGAAAGAAAAGAGAGGGCGAGAAAGAGCGAGAGAAAGAAAGAAAGAAAGAAAGAAAGAAAAGAGAGAGCGAGAAAGAGAGAGAAAGAAAGAAAGAAAGAAAGAAAGAAAGAAAGAAAGAAAAGAAAGAAAAGAGAGAGCGAGAAAGAGAGAGAGAGAGAGAGAGAGAGAGAGAGAGAGAGAGAAAGAAAGAAAGAAAGAAAGAAAGAAAGAAAGAAAGAAAGAAAGAAAGAAAGAAAGACCGGCTAACCATTTGACCGGGATGATAAAAGGACTATTGCTTTGGGTAGGAGGTTGGTCTAGAAGATCTCCAAGGTCCCTTCCAGACCTGAGGTAATGGGGATGTTCTAGAAAGTTCTACTGATCATCACGGGTTCCCAGAGTTTGAGTCTGCCCTTAATGGCACTTAACTAATAGCAAACACAGCATGCAACCGTTGCCAATTTGCTTGGGCGGCTTCATTACGCCTTTCTTTTGGATTTGGGCAGGTGATTGTTTGCAATAACAGCTTATTATTTTAATTAAGCCATCCTCTGCGCAGCCCTACGGTAAACACTCCGCTTCTAAAAGGGAGAAAAAGAAGAGAGAGAGAGAGAGAGAGAGAGAGAGAGAGAGAAGGGAGGAAGGAAGCTTTCATGTGTGACTACAACAGCTCATTATTGCAAGAAGCGAGATAAATAAAAAATAAAAAAATAAAAGCAAAACAATATAATTGAGCCAACAATTTGCACGGCAAATTTCACCGTGTTTTTAGTCACAGGGCTGAATCCAACCTGAAAGGGGTGTGTGTGTGTGTGTGGAAAATAAAAGGTAATTGGTTGTTAATTGGCATGTGATGCTGCCAGAGGATTTTAATTACAACTTGGCAAAGCGAGAAGCCGCTGATGGTTTTGTGTTAAATGAAAACAACTGAATCACAGCCTCAGCTCGGCTGAAGCATCATCGCTTACCTGAACGATCTTAAGAGTTTGTAGGACTTTCCCAGGTCAGAAACTCGTCTGCAAAGGGGCGCCACGGCTAACTCCATCTGGAAGAGGAATTGATTTGGTTTTAATCTGCTAATTCAGAGACCTAAAAAAAGATGAGCAGATTAGGGAAAGTGGCTTTGTCTGCTGAATCCCAGCCGTGATTTATAACGCAGATGCTCCTCGACGTACAAGCGTGACCGTCCAAAGTTGCCACAGGGCTGGAAAAAGGTGACTTCTGTCTGTTTCTCACCCTTGCAACCAACCGTGGCAGCGTCCCCCACGGTTCACGTGATCAAAATTCAGACCCTTGGCCACTGACTCGTATTTATGACGGTGGCAGCGTCCCGGTGTCGTGTGATCCCCGTTTTGCGAACTTCTGACCAGCAAAGTCGATGGGGGAAAACCAGAATCACTTAGCAACTGAGTTACTAACTTAACTGCAGTGATTCAAGAAATGGGGCCAGAAATGGCATACAATGGGGTCAAAACTCACTTAACAAGGGTCTCACTTAGGAACAGAAATGCTGTGCTCAATTGTGGTCGTACGTTGGGTGAGAGAAGGTGATTGGCTCAAAGTCACCCAGCTGGCTTTCATGGCTAAGGCGGGACTAGAACTCACTGTCTCCTGGTGATTGGCCCAAAGTCATCCGGCTGGCTTTCATAGCTAAGATGGGACTAGAATTCCCCATCTCCTGGTGATTGGCCCAAAGTTATCCAGCTGGCTTTCATGACTATGGCAGAACTAGAACTCCCCACCTCCTGACGACTGGCCCAAAGTCACCCAGCCGGCTTTCATGGCTAAAGCAGGACTAGAACTCACGGTCTCCTGGTGACTGGCCCAAAGTCACCCAGCTGGCTTTCATGGCTAAAGCAGGACTAGAACTCACGGCTTCACAGTTTCTAGGCCATTGAGAAGAACTGGTCTGCCACACAGGGAATCAGAGAGATACTACATTTTTCGTAGTATCCCAAATAAGAAGCGCATTTGCCCTCCGGCTTACAATCAATCGGATTCGTTATACCTGTTTTACTATAGGGTTACACTTTACGGAGAGTGCCACGCTAAGTATCTGACACCTCTTCTGCTGAAATTCCCAGGCCATTTGGAACAATTTTACACCTCGTTTCTGCCAGACAGAAATGAGTCTTATCACCCGTAGTGTGGCAAAACTGTGTACGGCGCCAAATTGGGTTTGACAATCTCTTAACATCGGCTTTTGTAGCAGCTGGCGACCGACAACGGAGCGTGATTTAGCTCTTACCTGTTGGCCTAACACGTTATGGAACAAACAATTCAACGGTTTTCTCATTTTATATCGCCATTTTTAAAAGCTTTTTTTTTAAAAAAAAGTAACGATCAAGTCTTCGTGTCGGCGTCGGCTCCCTTATTAACAAATAACTGAACAAATTTGGAGTTTAAAATTGTCCCCGTGCCCTAAGCCATTCTCCTATTAGGGCAGTGGTTCTCAACCTGTGGGTCGGGATCCGATTTGGGGTCGAACGACCATTTCACGGGGGTCGCCAAACAACGCAGTCCGCCATTTTTTCCCCCCTTTTCCTTAGCTGTGCTACTCCCTTTTATTCTATTGGTTTTTGAAAGCCAATAGAATAGACTCTCTTGAATACAGTCTAATTCTATTGGCTTTCAAAAGCCAATAGGAATTGTCCAGGCTGTCTCTGCCCTGCTGAGCCCGCCAAAAGTCCCATTCTGCAAACGGTGCTGCACCAGTTGAGTAGTCCTCGACTTACAACCGGTTGAGTAGTCCTCAACTTATGACCGGTTGGGGGTCGCGGCATTAAAAAGGTTGAGAACCACTGTATTAGGGGATCCTGCTCCCTTGCAAGAAATCATTTTGTGATAAAACACACAAAAAGTACATGCACCTCTGTTGTGGCTGGAATATCGCGTACGACAGCTGTAGTATTTGTATCAGAGTAGATACTAGAGCAGCTATCCGAGTAGAATAGATAGAGTAAGTAATAGATAAAGTACATTGAGCCCAAATTTGATTCCTTCTGAGAAGCAAAATCTGTGTGGAAGTTGAGGACTATCTGTATTTTTTTTTTTTAAAAAAAATAAACACCAGAGTTCTTTCATTGGCCCTAGCCAAAGAACTATTGTAAACTCAATCCCCAAACCTTTTTCATTACATTTTTCTACCCGCCCCCCAAGGAAAATAATTCATTCAATTCCCCAACTGTTAGCATTTTTACTGCTGTTAATATAAGAGGCAGGATGTCAGCCTAACAAATATTAAAAATCTGACAAATCTGGAATGTGCTTTCATTCCAGCCGACAGCGATGAAATGACTTTTTGTAGTCAAAAGAATGACAATATATTTTTCTCGGCTAAACTCGGATCCCTGGCCTGGAGAGTGTATTTTTGTGCTAGATAAAGGAGAGGGGAAAAAAAAATATCTTTTCTTTTCCTTCATCTGTTTCTGCCTTCATCGTGTTCACATTTCATTCTTTTGATCGTACAGAGCCACATGGCATTTAAAGGGCAAAATATTATTCCCCAACTAACACAACTTAAAATACTCCAAATTACTGCAACCTCAGTGCACTTGGTTTTTTGTTTTTTGTTTTGTTATTCAGCAACAAAGATCCTCATAATGAATAGGTCGTAAGGTGCATCTATTCCTAGATAATGCCTCGCGGTATATATAAATGTCAAGAAAATGTCATTTAAAATTATCTCATTGACCTCAGGAAATCTTTTTAGACCAGCCAATATATACCAAGGGTGAAAACTGTGCCAGCTATTTGGCATAAGTGATTGTTATTGCCTTTCAGTTTGAGCTTTCGACGTGCTTAAATACAATCACTTTGTTTTGTATTCTGGGGTTATAATTTGCTTCCTTCATGTGGTCTCAACAAGAGAACCCCAAATGCACAAATTTGTGTTTGTATATGTAGCTTCTACCAGAGACAAATTCCTTGTGGGTCTAATCACACTTGGCCAATTAAAGCTTCTCTATTTCTATTTTTTCTATTCCTATTCTGTTCCTTTCTATTCTATTCTATTCTGCATTCTATTCTATTCTGCATTCTATTCTATTCTATTCTATTCTGCAGTCTACTCTGCAGTCTATTCTATTCTATTCTGCATTCTATTCTATTCTGCACTCTATTCTATTCTATTCTGCATTCATTCTGCATTCTATTCTATTCTATTCTGCATTCTATTCTATTCTGCACTCTATTCTATTCTGTTCTGCATTCATTCTGCACTCTGTTCTATTCTGCATTCATTCTGCATTCTATTCTGTTCTGCATTCTATTTTATTCTGCACTCTATTGTATTCTATTCTGCATTCATTCTGCATTCTATTCTATTCTATTCTATTCTATAGCTATTCTATTCTATTCTATTGCTATTCTATAGCTATTCTATTCTATTCTATTCTATTCTTCATTTATTCTATTGTATTCTTCATTTATTGTATTCTTCATCTATTCTATTCTATTCTATTCTATTCTATTCTATTCTTCATTTATTCTATTCTATTCTATTCTATTCTTATTCTATTCTATTCTGCATTCTATTCTATTCTGCATATTTTATTCTGCACTCTATTGTATTCTATTCTGCATTCATTCTGCATTCTATTCTATTCTATTCTATTCTATTCTATTCTATAGCTATTCTATTCTATAGCTATTCTATTCTATTCTATTCTTCATTTATTCTATTGTATTCTTCATCTATCTATTCTATTCTATTCTATTCTATTCTATTCTATTCTATTCTATTCTATTCTATTCTATTCTATGGATCGTGTTTTGAACCCCGAGCACAGCAGGGAGCTGAGTGGAATTAGGGCTGAGGGTCCCCTCGTTTACCTGAGCGAAGTCGGCCGCCAGCCGCATTTTCCCTCCTTCACCGAGAGACCGGAGCAGGCTGGCGTTGCGGATAAAGACCTGGATGGCCCTCTGCGCGATGCCTTCAGTCCTCTCGTAGACAAAATCATAGCACTCGAAGTGCCTGAAATAATCGTTCATGACCCTGGAGATGAACCCCTGCAGCTCCTTCATGTACAGAGAGCAAGGCACGTCCGGCTTTCCCGAAGGAGGCAGGGACCTGACCGGCAAACGGGGGAGAAAAAAAAGAGAAAAAAAATCATGCATCTGGGATTTGTCCCAGCTGTTCTTCATCACTGTCCAACTCAGGCTCCCAACACAGCTGTGTCTCAGCCTGAGCGCGAGTAGAGGGGCCAGGCTCCTCGTCCGACTGTAAGTCTTGGAGATGCTCAGAGCCTTCCTCTGACTTTGATGTCACTCCAGGCCCCTCCTCCTCCTCCTCTGATTCCCCAGACTCAGCTGCTAGGTCCACTAGCTGGTGAGGAATCACAACACTAACTTTGAAGGGTTGCTAAATGAACGGTTGCAAATTGAGGACGACCTGTACATCCCAATGACATACAAGTAGCCCTCTAGTTATGACAACTGAGCCCCAAATTTATGTTGCTAAGCGAAACATTTGTTAAGCGAGCTTTGCCCCGCTTTACAACCTTTCTTGCCACAGTTGTTAAGCAAATCACAGGGTCAGCCAGTTTTAAATTTCTAGAGAGACAAGTAATCAGCATAGTTGGGTTCTGATATCTCAGGGTCTGCCCCAAAGAGGAGGGAGTCAAGCTATTCTCCAAAGCACCTGAAGGCAGGACAAGAAGCAATCGATGGAAACTGACCAAGGAGAGAAGCAACCTGGAACTAAGGAGGAATTTCCTGACAGTTGGACCAATTAACCAGTGGAACTACCTGCCTCCAGAAGTTGTGAATGCTCCAACACTGGAGGTTTTTAAGAAGAGAGTGGACAGTCATTTGCTCCTAATGATAGAGGGTCTCCTGCTTGAGCAGGGGGTTGGACTAGAAGACCTCCAAGGTCCCTTCCAATTCTGTTATTCTGTTAGTTATCCTACATGCATTTCCGCAACAACAATCACATTTATTGCCTTCAATAATAGACTGGAATACAGCTAGATTAATGGGGGTGGGGTTGGTGCGGTCACAAAGCCAGTAGACTCTCCATTTTGACAAGGTTTACTTCTTGTAGACCTATAAAAGACTATAGAGAAGCAGTGCCTCAGTTACCCCGAAAAGTCTTCCTGGTGAAGGGTCATGATAATAGCTTGTATGGAGTCGCCCACCGAGTCCAGCAAAGGTTGCACAGCATTGCCCATTAAATCGTGGATGGTCTGGAAGGCAGAACGGAGAATAAAACCCGGGTCAGAAGGAAACCGTGCACTTCACCAGTTTCAAGCTATCATTATAGTTAAACAAGGGTGAATCATAGGATACTAACTAAGCCACCACATAAATCATACTAGGATAGGAAATAAAGCAATATAAACTGTAAGATGCAAGCCCCAAAGTTATAGTCCTAAGAAGATAATGATAGGTAATAGGAAAGATGAGGCGAATAATAGTAATACAACTTTACTACGTAGTTTGACAGTGGTTAGTTAGGGTTTAGTGGTTAAGTAGAGTGACGGCCGGAGGAAAATAACTGTCCTCATGTCTAGTTCAAGGGTAGGCAACCTTGGTTCTTTTATGACTCGTGGATTTCAACTCCCAGAATTCCTGAGCCAGCACGGCTCACCTTGGAAACCTCTCCCTTTTCCCTCAGCGTGGCTGACTCAGGAATTCTGGGAGTTGAAGTCCATGAGTCATAAAAGAGCCAAGGTTGCCTACCCCTGGTCTAGTTGTTCTGGTGTGCAATGCCGCACAGTGTCGTCTTGATGGAAGAAGTTGAAACAGTTTATGTCCAGGATGCGAGGGGTCTGTAGATATTTATTTATGGCTTCTCCATCACTGGAAGTTTTCAAGAAGAGTCTGGACAGCTATTTGTCTGGGATGATATAAGGATTCACCTGAAGATGGGCTCTAGCATAAAGCCTCTGGTCCCGATGACCGACCCAGATTGGATCCTGCGATATAAAGACTGTTGCCTAGGGCAGGGGGTTGGACTAGAAGACCTCCAAGGTCCCTTCCAGGCCTGTGTAAGCTCAAAACAACACAAGATGGCCTCCTGATGTTGACCCGCGAGGCAGTTTGGACCAACAGAAAGGAAGCCTGCCGTGCGCGGCAAGATTTAAATCTTTTGAGGGTGAAGGTGTTCGACGCTATTGCAAATTTAAATCTTTCTCAACGGCTTTACAACACAGACCTACCTTCAAAGCCGCGTGCACGGTTTCCTCCGAAGCTGTTGGAAACCCACTTTGGTTGGAGATAACCTAAGACAGAGAGGTCGAAAGAGCGTTAAACTGTGTAGTGTGGCACATCTTTATTTTCCAAGTAACATTCCCCCCTCCCCTCGGAATGGCAGCGTTCCGACAGGGACCTGACAAGTGGTCAGTTCAGTTCAGGGGTTTGGAGCATTCTGGCTATGAAACCTTTCTGTCCTGGTTCCGACAGATGAAACTCTTCAAAGAACTTTGAGGCCTTGTTTACCTTAAAGAATCTTTATTGGAATAGCATAACATCGGCACTAACACAGTCAAAGCCAAAAACTGAGTTCCCCTCCCCTGAGCACATAGTATCAAAGCACAATTCCCTCCCCCCAGTTAACAGTCATAAAATCACATTCCCCAATTAGCTTGAAATGCAGGCTTCCCCTCCAGTTCTCCAGCCCGCCAATTCTTTATCATCTCTTATTTCAATAACCTTAGTTCTCACACTAGGTTCAGTATTGTTATGTCTAGCTAAACTCTCATGCACATTCCTCCTCCCAGCATCATCTAACTCTAAGAGTAAACAAAAGCAAAAGAAGAAAATGGTTGCATTTTATCTGTTGTCAGTGCAAAAAACATCCAATGTTAGCAGCGTTGACACTTCCGCTTCGTCAATCTCCTTACAACTTACTTTTAGAACGGACTGGTGCAACTTATAGAGCGAGTTCACAACGGCCACGTTCCGTCTCTGCCCTTCGGTTAAGGGGCCAATCACCTGGCTGGCTTCTCCCTGCGTCGACAGCTGCAGGGAGCAAATGAACAAAACCAATTTATTTCCCGGGAAGTAACTGTTCCAGATTCCTTGACTTACGACCACAATGGGACTCAACTGTGGTCGTAAGCCGAGGACTGCACGTAGCTCTTCTGGGCTTTCTTTTTAGTGGGGGCCACCAACAAAATTTAGGCAGATGGTTATGGACATCCTGACATGTCCTGCAGAATGAATTTGGAGAGGTATATGGACGGAGCGTCGTTGAACAATATAAAACATGAAAATTGTTCCTTGTTAGTCCATCAACCTAGCCTTACTGGAGACCTAGATGAAATACAGGTAGTCCTCGACTTACGACGACAGCTGAGCCCAGAATTTACGTTGCTAAGTGAGACGGTCGCTAAGGGAGTTTTGCCCCCATTTTATGAGCTTTCTTGCCACAGCGGTTAAGTCAAGTGCTGCCTTTGTTAAGTTAGTAACACAGTTGTTAAGTGAATCCATCTTTCCCTGTCGACTTTGCTTGTCGTAAGGTCGCAAAAGGGAATCGCGTGACCCCCCCCCCCAGGGACATGGCAACCGTCATAAATACGAACCAGTTGCCAAGTGGCTGAATTTTGACCATGGGGATGCCGTAAATGGTTGTTAAGTTGAAAAAAGGTCACGGGTCCCTTTTTCTCAACCCCGTTGCCACTCTAAACAAACCATCGTAAGTCGAGGACTACCATTTTGCTTCCAAAATGTCATGAAAAGGGGGAAAGGAGAACATTAGGTAATGCAATTTTGAATTCCCAGCCCCCCCCCCCAGGAAAAAAAAAATCTCCTGACATCAAAGAAAGCAGCTTTTGCAGGGCCGTCTTCAAAATGTTTCTAACTTCATTTATTCTGACAAGGAAGAATTCCCGCGTGCCGAGCCCGTGTCGATTTAGGTAAACAAAGTCACCTGCTGAACAGTAAAAGCTAATGGCTGTTTTTCCAATAGGTCGATGCGTCGGAAGGCATTCGGTTTTACGAGCTCTTTCTTTGACATTAACAGCAAACTAGCAACGAATAAGACAGTGGTTCTCAACCCTTTTTAATGCTGCGACCCCCACCCGGTCGTAAGTCGAGGACTACTCAACCGGTCGTAAGTAGAGGACTACTCAACTGGTGCAGCACCGTTGGCAGAATGGGACTTTTGGCGGGCTCAGCAGGGCAGAGACAGTCTGGACAATTCCTATTGGCTTTTGAAAACCAATAGAATTGGACTCTATTCAAGAGAGTCTATTCCATTGGCTTTCCAAAGCCAATAGAATAAAAGGGAGTAGCACAGCTAAGGAAAAGGGGAAAAAAATATGGCGGACTGCGTTGTTTGGCGACCCCCGTGAAATGGTCGTTCGACCCCAAATGGCGTCCCGACCCACAGGTTGAGAACCACTGGAATAAGAGAATCTCTGTTGAGGGCCTCCCAATTCTAATCAACAGCTGGACCCCAAAACTATGCCTCATGCGTTTTAACACTTGGGGTGCGACTGGAATAGGAACGGCCCTTGCACACTTAAAAATGGGCTCAAACCTTCCTAACACGGAGGAGAGTGTGAATCGGTGTCAAGTAATATCCATCAAGGCAACGCCTAAAAGCATCCTTAATAAATAAATAAAACATGATTTCATCTTTCCCAAATATAGACCTGGCGGATACCTCAGAATAACAGAAAAAACAGGATAACGGAATTGGAAAGGGACCTCGGAGGTCTTCTAGTCCAACCCCCTGGCTCAGGCAGGAAAGCCTATACCATTTCGGACAAATGGCTGCCCAATCTCTTCTTAAAAACCTCCAGTGTTGGAGCATTCGAAACTTCTGGAGGCAGGTGGTTCCACTGGTTAATTGTTCTCACTGTTTAAGAAATGTCTCCTTAGTTCTAGGTTGCGTCTCTCCTTCATTAGTTTCCATCCATTTGTCTGTGGAGATGCTCTGTCATCCAGGTCAAGGTTGTCCCAAAGGTGCTTTTTTTAGGAGGCAACTAGACTTTCTTGTTTCTTTGAAGACGTTTCGCTTCTCATCCCAGAAGCTTCTTCAGCTCTGACTGGATGGCGGGGAATGGAAGGATTTATACTCCTTGCAGACGTCTGGTCATTTGCATTCTTTTAGAGCAGTGGTTCTCAACCTGTGGGTCGGGACCCCATTTGGGGTGGAACGACCATTTCACGGGGGTCGCCAAACAACGCAGTCCGCCATTTTTTCCCCCTTTTCCTTAGCTTGAATAGAGTCTAATTCTATTGGCTTTCAAAAGCCAATAGGAATTGTCCAGGCTGTCTCTGCCCTGCCGAGCCCGCCAAAAGCCCCATTCTGCAAACGGTGCTGCACCAGTTGAGTAGTCCTCGACTTACGACCGGTTGAGTAGTCCCCGACTTACGACTGGTTGGGGGTCGCAGCATTAAAAAGGTTGAGAACCACTGTTTTAGAGAGTTGTTGAGGCCATTTGCAGATTTACTGTATCTGTGTCTTCGCGCTCACCTGAGTTCCACACCTATTTGCACCACTCAGGGGCCGTATTCATTTTTTAAATATCTGTATTACTTTACACTTTCTCTTAAGTTTTGAAAATGAGTTTTGTCCAGATAAAAACTAAGAAGCTGGTGAAAAAACAGAGCTTCCTTTGAACTGCCAAAAGGTTATGTGGGACAGTTAGAATTGCATGCTTAATGGGAAGAAGGATCTGTTTTTCTGTTATACATGTTCTGCAGCAATTCTTCTTGCGGTTCAGTTGCTAAATCCTGTCCGACGTTTCGTGACCCCCACGGACCACAGCATGCCAGCCCCCCCCCACTGTCCTCCACCATCTCCCGGGGGTTTGCCCAAATTTACGTTCCTTGTGTTGATGACCCTCTCTCACCATCTTCTCCTATGCCGTCCCCTTCTCCTTTTACCTTCCATCTTTCCCCGTCATCAGGGTCTTCTCCAAGGAGTCTTCTCATTAGGTGGCTAAGCTAATTTTTCTGGGTTTTCAGGAGCACTGAATGGGGCTAGAGCAGCGGTTCTCCACCTGTGGGTCGGGATCCCATTTGGGGTCGAACGACCATTTCACGGGGGTCGCCAAACAACGCAGTCCGCCATTTTCCCCCCCTTTTCCTTAGCTGTGCTACTCCCTTTTATTCTATTGGCTTTGGAAAGCCAATAGAACAGACTCTCTTGAATAGAGTCTAATTCTATTGGCTTTCAAAAGCCAATAGGAATTGTCCAGGCTGCCTCTGCCCTGCTGAGCCCGCCAAAAGTCCCATTCTGCAAACGGTGCTGCAAGTTGTCTGCAGCAAAGGCGAGCTGTCTGGAAGTTTCCACCCCTCCCTGTTGAGCAACTACTAAAAATGTAAGGAAAAGAGGGCCAGGGGTGGGAGGTGGGAGGCCGGCGGATGCAGGGAGGGTTGCTGGCGCGGGTGGGGCCCGGCGGGTGCCTTACCTCCCTTGGGCTGGGCCAGCTGGTGACCCAGCTGGTGGTCGGCCTGCGCCGTCTCTGCCGCTTGCCAGCTACGCCTCGGCCGGCGCAGGGGGCGGCACCACGCATGCGCGGTGCTCCTGGGCAGGGAAAGTCGACTTACGACTGGTTGGGTAATCCTCGACTTATGACCAGTTGGGGGTCGCGGCATTAAAAAGGTTGAGAACCACTGGGCTAGAGCAACAGAATGGGTTGGGCCAAGACCAGAATATTTTTCAATCAAATGAAATTTAAAACTGAGCTGTTCTTTTTTGTCCCCCTTCGGTCATATGAAAGATGACAAGTTGACCTTGGTAGGGCACAGCCAATACTTTTTTAAAAAAAAATGAAGAGAAGGACGAGGGGGGACATGATAGCAGTGTTCCAGTATCTCAGGGGCTGTCCCAAAGCAGAGGGAGTCAAGCTATTCTCCAAAGCCCCTGAAGGCAGGACAAGAAGCAACGGATGGAAACTAACCAAGGAGAGAAGCAACCTAGAACTATGGAGAAACTTCCTGACAGTGAGAACAATTAACCAGTGGAACAACCTGCCTCCAGAAGCTATAAATGCTCCAACACTGGAAGTTTTTAAGAAGAGACTGGACAGCCATTTGTCCGAAATGGTGTAGGGTTTCCTGCCTGAGCAGGGGGTTGGACTTGATGACCTCCAAGGTCCCTTCCAACATTATTATTATTATTATTATTATCGATCATCGCACAGTCAGCCAGATGTTCAGACTGGATTTGTCATTTTGTCTACCTATCGAGTCCTTACCCAGGACATGGGATAGGCAGATGTGGATGTTTGATGGTATTACAGATATCGTCGCAGGATGGAAGCAGTTCCTAATAAGGCTGCCTTTTGCAATTGACTAATAGCGAATTTGTCAATGCCAATGGTGTTCAAGTGGTGCTCCAGTTGTTTTGGGATTGCACCTAAGGAGCCTATTACTATTGGTACTACCCTTGCTTGCTTTTGCCACAGTCTTTCTATTTCTATTTGTAGGTCTTTGTATTTTGTTATCTTCTCCAGTTCTTTCTCTTCTATTCTGCTATCTCCAGGCACTGACACATCCACTATCCAGACTTTTTTGTCTTTCTTATCGACAATTGTTAAGTCTGGGGTGTTATGTTGCAAGTGATTGTCTGTTTGAATTCTGAAGTCCCAGAGCAGTTTAATTTTATCATTTTCTATGACTTTCTCTATTTTATGATCCCACCAGTTTTTGCTTACAGGCAAATGATATTTTTTGCAGATCTTCCAATGCACCATTGTTGCTACTTTGTCATGCCGCTGCTTGTAGTCAGTCTGTGCAATCTTCTTGCAACAGCTTACCAAGTGGTCCACTGTTTCTTCAGCTTCTTTGAATAGGCGGCACTTACTGTCTGTTGCTGTCTTCTCAATTTTGACTTTGTATGCATTTGTCCTTAAGGCTTGGTCTTGTGCAGCCAGAATTAGTCCCTCGGTCTCTTTCTTCAATTTTCCTGCTCTTAGCCATTGCCAGGTTTTATTTTTATCTGCTTTCCCAGCTATTTTTTTCATGTATCGGCCATCTAGTGCTTTGTCTTCCCATGCCTCTAT